TGGCAAAAGAAATATCGTTTTCGCGGGACGGTGCGGAGAAGAGCCGCAAGCGTGCTGCCCGCATGGCGCTGGCATGCAGGCGGCATCTCTCCCCAGGCAAACAAAAGCGTTGCTCACATCAAATCGCAGTATGGCAATTTAGCGCGCAGCACATGTAACGATTTGAACCATGGTAATTCGTGAAAACCTAATCTGATACTTGTCGGGATTTATCAATCACTAGTTTCACAGTTTCTGCTGTAGGACTGAATTCTCACAAAGTTGTTTTAGTTGTAATTTTGTTTGTAGTTTGTTGTAAGGGATCTTCCATATCTTTCACTCAGGTTCAAAATAATTATTGTCCAGCCTACCCGCCTACTCGAAGTATTATTCCTCTACGAACTTTGCAACATTCTAACACTAGTTTTCTACGTCTTCGGACTATAAGGGCAGCCGATTTGAGTTTAGTGACTGATATACAGGCTGCCGCCACAAGTCAAGCGGCTCAGGTCCTCACGACGACTGCCTTCCTCTGGCCTTGCGCTGTAACGTATCTTTCAGGTATTTTGACATGCGAGCGGTAATTAGGCTGGCAAGGCAAGTGAAGATCTCGAGATGAAGCAATGAATGTTGCCTATAACTGCTGCCTTAAAGGACTGCTGGTCCTTCACATGCTTATGCAAGCTGTTTGAGGAACAGTGGACCGCTAAAGAACGCCTAGTGACGGCTTTTCTTCACGCAGTTTAGAGCTTGGAGCTATTTTCGCCCTTTAATAGGGAAGCTTGCTAGCCATTCTGTCATATGATAATTCATTTTTGCGATTGACCGATCGGGGACATACTTGTACTCAATGTAGAGCAGCTGAAGTTTTCTTATGACATGGAATGTTCGAATGAATGTTCTCGAATATTCGAATATTCAAATGACTGTATTTCAAATTGGGTCGAATATTCGAATATTCGAATGACTGTCTTCTAAAATTCCTCGAATAAACAAATATTCGAATAACTCATTTTTCCAAATCATCGAATAAACGAATTATTTGAATACATACCTGTATATATAATATATACCTGTATTCAAATAATTCGTTTATTCGATGATTTGGAAAAATGAGTTATTCGAATATTTGTTTATTCGAGGAATTTTAGAAGACAGTCATTCGAATATTCGAATATTCGACCCAATTTGAAATACAGTCATTTGAATTCGAATATTCGAGAACATTCATTCGAACATTCCATGTCATAAGAAAACTTCAGCTGCTCTACATTGAGTACAAGTATGTCCCCGATCGGTCAATCGCAAAAATGAATTATCATATGACAGAATGGCTAGCAAGCTTCCCTATTAAAGGGCGAAAATAGCTCCAAGCTCTAAACTGCGTGAAGAAAAGCCGTCACTAGGCGTTCTTTAGCGGTCCACTGTTCCTCAAACAGCTTGCATAAGCATGTGAAGGACCAGCAGTCCTTTAAGGCAGCAGTTATAGGCAACATTCATTGCTTCATCTCGAGATCTTCACTTGCCTTGCCAGCCTAATTACCGCTCGCATGTCAAAATACCTGAAAGATACGTTACAGCGCAAGGCCAGAGGAAGGCAGTCGTCGTGAGGACCTGAGCCGCTTGACTTGTGGCGGCAGCCTGTATATCAGTCACTATACTCAAATCGGCTGCCCTTATAGTCCGAAGACGTAGAAAACTAGTGTTAGAATGTTGCAAAGTTCGTAGAGGAATAATACTTCGAGTAGGCGGGTAGGCTGGACAATAATTATTTTGAACCTGAGTGAAAGATATGGAAGATCCCTTACAACAAACTACAAACAAAAATACAACTAAAACAACTTTGTGAGAATTCAATCTTACAGCAGAAACTGTGAAACTAGTGATTGATAAATCCCGACAAGTATCAGATTATTAGCTAATATACAGATATTTTCCTTTTTTGCATTTAGATGAGCACAGAAGCATTAGGTTGTTCCTTTTGTCCTTTTTTCATCGCTCACTAGAACTCACAGAACACCGATCCATGGATAACTTAGATACGATATGATACGTATTTTTATCTTCGTTCTTACAGCTGTATTTGCTCTCTGATCTACTCTGTCTTTGCAATGTTATCGCCACGGCTTTCTGAGCAGCTCAACAGTAACGTCTAATCTTTATTTTAAAAATTCTTATCCTGATGTTTTCAAGGAGCGTTGATAATTGTTATGTAGAGCAAGCCTTTAGCTACATTGCACCCATTTTAGATTACATGGTCCGTGTTTACCAAGGTCGTTATAATTATTAGTTTAATAAAAACTGCGGGTTTTTGATTACGTTTACAACGTAAAAGAACCGAAAATTCCAAAAAGCTGCTTTTCCAAAGCAAATCAAACTTGGTTATGTAGCATAAATAATGTTTAATAAGAATCATCTTTCAATTTGCAAAAGCTTCAAAAGCTTTTGTGTATTTGCTGCAGTTGCGTGTTTCATGACTTTGAAAAAAATCGAGACCTCCGAAGAAATAATGTTTTTGAGCGTAAAAACAGCAAATCAAAAGAATTCGAAAATACCTTGCAGTCCGGGAATTGCTCCATTTGATCCATACTTAGTCCTTTCCGAAACTTTGGAATGAGGTTTTAAAAAAGTAGTCTAACTTTGAGCAGAATTGACGGATGGAGAATTTTGGAATCAAAGAAAGCGAGATTGTGGTTCGAAAATGTGTTTTCTCAAGAAGAAAAGGAAAAGCTTCATCAAATGCATGTTGAAACTCATTCAGGTCTTTATTGTGCGTGGTTTTATAGTGGTATGAAAAACGCAAAACTTTCGGGACAACAGCAGAGTTTCACTGATTTTATTACTGTAGGCCTTCCTCGTGCTCCCCCAGTCTAGTCTTGGAACTCACGCAATGCTGACCACTACGAATAAATTACAAACAACTACCTATTTCAAAAAGTTTTCCATAATCTTTAGCTTTGGGGAAAAATTCTGTGTAGCTTCGAGAGAAACTCTGTGAGGAAGAATAAATGCGGACTTGAAACGATTACTAAAGGCTTAGTAGCCATTTTAAAAGACCATGAACACCTTGAACTACATGATTGAATGTAATTCTTCTGTCCTATTTGGAACCCTGACCAAAAACCCAGTCATAATCCAGTCATCCTACCACTTGCTACACATATAATAATCAGCTACAAATCTAGATCAAATACTGCGATTAATTTTTTTTGCAGAAAATCGCAACCAAGAAAAAACCTGCATTGTTTGAGGCACTAGATATTCGAATTATTTAAGTAGTCGAATATTCGGATAAGTATGATTATTCGATTATTTAAATAGTCGAATGTTCGACCAAATCCATTTATTCGCATATTCGTTCATTCGAATTTAGAAAAGTAGCATTTTCGAATATTCAAATTCGAATAATCTGAAAATCACAGATCGAATAATATTCGTTCGTTCGAATATTTTTCAAAAGCCGATTATTCAAAATTCATTCGTTCGACGAAATTTTTCGCTCGTTTCAACTATACTATGGCGTACAATAAAAATTTGTTGCTCAATAACTACTTGTAGCAGAATAAACTTGTAGAGTGTAGCACAATGATAAGAATACGTAGTATAAATGATGTTAAGAGAAATTCCTAAAACAGTAAAGTTGAATTTACGATGTTGACAATGTTTAAACATGGCCAATTTTTCAATTAGTTCAACTTAAGTAACTCGCAGCAGATCACTCTCCATAACTCTTGTATAATTGGGCTAAAGCCAATTCTGAACTATGTTTGGAGTCTGTTTTTGAAGAGATAGAATGATATACAATTCGTGGGTCTAACATTTTTACGAGGTGGTGTATTTCCAGAATTCTAATGGTACACTCCATTCTCCACTACAGAGCCCCATATTTCAACGATGGGAGCATTTCATGGTTTAATTTTTTTGCATCTTATACGGGAGGGTTCGCTTAATATTACCTATATCCTAGCAAAGAGATTCCACGCAAACGACTAACTTAAATTTAAAATTACGTGTTTTTCAAGTGTCTCCCTCCTTGCTGTAAGTCTCCTCCACTACATCCAATCTCTCTGCGAGTGTAAGGAAATACTCAGTAAACCTTCCTCTACAAGATGCAGAAGAAATGAATTGTGAAATGCCTCTATCACCGAGATATGATGCTGCAAAAAAATCGTCTAAAATAGGTTTTCTCAACGTAACTTTTGAGTAAGCAGATAAAATGTGAAAGAAAGGGTATAGGTGAATTCCTCACCTCAACAGCTTTCGATTGATATATGACATGTAGGAGGGGGGTTGATGCCTCCGGGCTGCTGGAAGAGGGGATGAGCCTGCTCAGTTCAGCGTGCCCATTCCCCGTCACTGCAATGCAATGGAGAGACGCCGTGGAGTGAGCACGCTGAACTGAGCAGGCTCAACCCTTGCAGGTGGTAAAAAAATAGGACCCTCACATGCTACATACCAATCGAATACTCTTGATGAGTAGAGTCTACCTACCTATACCCTTCACTCCCGATTTCATTCATTTACACAAAAGTTATTTCCAGAAAATCTATTTTTGGCGTCGTGATCTCTGGTCTATTTGCAGCTTCATAACTGCGACAAATCCTTTTTAGGATCTACATTTTTTTGCATATCATAAAGGAAAGATCTCTTATTAACGCATATACTTTCGCAAAATAATCTGCTGCAATTTTCCCAAGTTATACCAATTAAAATCTGATATTGTTTAAATATAACCAACATCGTTACTTCACTCTACTGCCCTAGGAATTTCTTCTAACATCAATTATACCATTCTTATCAGTGTGCTACACTCTATATGTTTATTCTGCTTCAAGTGGACACAATTAACAACAAATGCTTCTATTCTACTCTATAGATACCCACATCAGAATTTCTTTGCAACAATAATTTCAAAATCCTCCTTCGAATGCTTCCACTTCCAAACCGTGACACCGCATTCACCCCTTACAGCATGGTACACATCCAGCCCTTCTATGCTGTTGACTGCGCATAGTTCGTTGCTCAAAATATTGACTCGAATTTGATTGAAAGGCCGAAATTATGTCCTCAAACATCCTCGATTCAAAGGTTAACTCGAAGAGTTTCGTAACTAACAAACTCACTGGCAAACTCTCAAAGTTGCACAATACAGAGTGGAACCATACATATACGAGGGAGCGAAGCTACCAAGTACCAGCCGAACCTGCCGCGTAGCGGCAGAGAGCGGACTGGTAATTTCATAATCATCGCAAATATGTTATTAACATATCCACGTAAGTTCTAGGTAAAACTTTCTTCCAACCTCCAAGCCCATGAGTATCCGCCAGTGCATGCCCACGGCCGGAATCATATTTACAACATTCCAAGTTCGTACCTCATAAAAATGTAATTTTTCACTTTATATTTTTAATTTCGCGCACTACTCCCTCATTTCAAAAAACTTTTTCTTCCTTTCGAAGTGAAGGGGGGGAGGGTTCAGGCTCCAACAGGCTCCAAAGTGGATGGGGGGAGGGTGAGCTTTTGCTTACCCTATTGCACCTATGGTTGCGCTTCTATCAAGGTCAGCAAATACCTTCAAAAAAGTTGTTTGAGCTCTTTCGAATGATCCATCAAGAGAAAATTCTTGCTTTATAAAAGATATCAAAAGTGCCGAATGCGTGAGGAAAGTACATGCGTAAGTAGGAAGTTCGTACAAGTTTTGGACGTAAATACGATATTTCCTTGACTTTTCCGGCACTCTTATTGAATTTTGACCCCGAATGTGAAACAAACTCTGAGCAAATCTTTGGATACTACCTTGTACAGCTTGATTTGCTCTGTCTGATGGTACCGCAAAACTTACTTGAAGGGCAGGATAAATATGACTTACTGCAAGACCATGTAAAACAACCAAAAGATCGCGAGGCAATTCAATATTGACTTACAATATACTTAAGATATGTATTGCAGGCGTCCTTATCACAGGTATACCGTATAACAGCAATCGTGTATCTCCCGTATTGAAAAGATGTATTATAGTGCTCGCATCCTTCGTCTGCCTGTGAAAAATGTTTTGTTTTTACATTTTAGACGTTTCTTGGCAATTCTGTAGACTAGGTCAGATGTTCTGGACTTTCTCGGTAAGTGTATGGTATCAGAGTAACGAACCATGGTCGTGTCGTTGGCGACTGATATCGTATCGTTGTGAGCGTACATTTCGACATCGACCAAACCAAGTGAGCAAACGTCTGTATTGGTACGATACACACAAGAGATCGAGCAGTTGCTCTCTGACTAAAATCGAAAACTTCAGTTATTAGAAAAGCTTAAAAAACCGAATGCGCGAAATTCCTATCTAGCAGTTCTTCTCTCAAGAATTTTTCCTCCTACCTATCTTTAGCATCGCTCTGACTTTCTGTTTTGAACCTTCAGGATCATAATAAAAATGTTTTAGGTTGACAGATAATGCCTGTTACACTTCTTATTTGTTCTGGAAAATTCCAGGAACGTCTTTACCAAATTTCGTCATAGTTAGGGCATAGCAGAGTCCACCTACCAGCATGATGGACGGCCGCGAATTTCTGTGAATATTTTTGAAATTTCAATCTTTTTTCTCTGCGCCTAGGTATGCTTTTCGTCTACAATTCTTTAAGAATGTATCTTAGCACTATCTCTCCTTTTGCTGCATGCTTCTAGCGTCCCAATAAATGAGGGATGAAAAAATAAAGAAAAAAAAACAAATATTTTCAAAAGAAAAAACCAAATATACCAATATATAAGAGTGGAGTCTACAAAAGATATGAAGCATTTCCTTCATATGAAAGACACACTTGGTGGACTTCAAGAAAAGAAGAGGGCATTTCCGAAAGGAATCTACTTTGGAAAAATGGCCACTACGGGTCGCGTCGTACCAGCAGTCACGGAGGATGAGGTATGGCTAGCTTTAAGAATACCGAGGAACAAAGCGACTGGTCCAAATGACATACCAAGTGAGTTTAAAAAATATGTGGACAATCCTGACCCCAAGGTTAGCAAGTCTGCTTGATCAGATTACAAGGAGCAGAGTTTGCCTCACGACTGTGTACCAGTAGACGATCCCGACATGGAAGAACAAAGGAGACTTGGCAGACTGCGTATCCTAGCGACCAATCCGACTGATGAGCCGCTCTCTAGAAGTCTTTGAGCGAATATTCGAGACACGACTTCCAGATTCCATAGAGTCGTCATCGAATCAGTGCGGATTCGTGAAAGGAGTAAGTGCAACCGACGCCGTCCACTTCGTCTGGGTAGCGATGGAGAAGTATAGAGGAAAACAGATGCCACTGCATGCCTTCCTGGACCTAGAGAAAGCCTTTGATAAGGTGCCGAATGAAGTCATATGGTGGACCTTACGGAAACACATGCTACCAGAGGAGTTGCATCAGTAAAGCTCTACCACAACGCTTCAAGTCAAGTACAAACAGCTAACAGCAAGACAATCGGAAGAGCTCTAATCCAAGGTTGGAGTACACCAAGGTCCAGTTTTCTCTTCCTTGCGTTTCATCATTGTGATGAACGCCGTGATGGAACCACTAGACGTGAACCTCCTCGTACATTTCTCTACGCAGAAGTGGTTTGATAGCAAGTATACCCGGAAAGGAGTGACGAGGTACAAAACTGGAAGAACAGGCCAGACTTTTATGGCTTGAAGCACAACACCACGAAGACAGAATTCATGGAATGGGGAAACAAATTGCAGGTACCATAAGCATCAGTGATAAAAAGCTAAAGAAGACAACCTCATGCAAGTGCGGCGGTCAGGTCTCAGCGGAGAAGCCTACAAGAGAAGGTCGCAAGCAGGATGAACACAACGTGGATGAAATAAAGAGCCATGGCAGAAGTTCTGTGCGACAGAAGAGTGCCAGCGCAACTTCCTTTCATTACCGGACCGTTATCCGTCCACGAACACTGTATGCAGTGAGTGCTGGCACGTACGCGGAACGAGGATCGCAAGCTCAGTATCATGGAAACAAGGATCCTACAATGGACTTTAATCCACACTGAAAGATCATCTGAAGTCACTGTACGAGCCAAAGTGAAAGAGCTCCAACTGCCTAGGAAATGCAGTAAACGAGGTCACGATGGTATGGGCATGTGCGCAAAAGGGATGAAAGTCACTTCACAAAGTTAGCCCTGGCTGTGGAGGCACAAGGCAAAAGACCCAGAGGTAGGCCCAAAATGAAGTGATGGGCCGATCTGCGAAAACTTGGGATAGGCGAAGACCTCGCCTCAGAAAGAAAAACAGGAAGACAACTGACAAGAAAAGCAGATACCGCATAAGCGGGACATCCAAGCATAAAAGAAAAGACTGATAGAATGTTCGGGTTAATAATTCGCGATGTTTCTGACCTTTCCAAGCTTTAAAAGGACTGTCGATCCAAATGTCAGCCCTAATAAGAAAGTAACAGCTTGGCTCACGGCCCTGACAACTACCTCAAAGTTATGGACTGGTTCCCTAAAAGCCCAGTCAACCACGGAATGGTCGCTGATATAAATGCTATGCTCGCAAAGTTACAAGAATGAGACTGAACACGAGATTCTCTCCTACATCCACTGTGAGTGAAGTGCCACACGCACAGCTAGTACCGAAAAGTGGGAAAGTTTGCCTTTTTCTCCATTACCACGAACAGTATATGCATACAACGCAAGTGCATCAGTGTAGAGCTTGGAATAGGACCGAGTCCACTCAAAGAGTTCGTGCTCAGGGTCGTGAAATACGTGGTCGTGAAATTCATAGTGATGAGAGTCGAAGCATGTAAGGCTGGAAACCAGCGCAATCCTGAAGCGATCGTGTGTCAAATGAGCGATCATCCTCACAAGGATTTCACGTCAAGATCTTATCAAGAAAAAGATGTGGTACCGCGAAAGAATCCACAAGATGTATGATGTTATGAGCATGAAGCGATCAAATTAAACATCACTCAGTATATGCGAACACATCGTGGTACTGTTATCACCTTTCTATCACAACTCCACCAGTTAGACATGAATATTTTCACCTTTTCACAAGAATCATGCAAGCACCATATAGAAAAACCTGTGCATTACCTCTGCTTCGCAGAGGCTCGCACTGGCCCTACTTTCTGTATGTTTTACTCATTCCCGCATAATAATAACATTGAAACTCACCCGCTTTGCAGGCTATCAAGAATAATTTGTAAACAACTATTCATTCCGAGAACTTTTTTGTGTGAAAGCGGTATTTTCGCGTGGATGAAACTTTTCCGAGAAGAATAAATGCAAATTTTAATCGGTTTTTGGACTTTTTATGGTTTGGTAGTCGCCATAACGACGATGATCACCGTGGACTACATCTCTATGCAAAATCTTCTCAAATGGTCAGGTAAACTCTTGGCAAATTGAACATTTACGCAACTACTTTTTCGGCGCCATTTTCGTAAAGTAATTAAATTTAGTTCAATTTTTTGGGCTCAAGACCATAGCTTGCACATTAGCTTGTTAATCATATCCATGACTTCGCAAAAAGTGGTCATGTAGGCCCAATTTTGCTGGCCAGAAGCCAAATGGATCCGTTTAAAGCTCATTTTTTGAGAAATCCACCCAACGGATCCACTCGTGCTTTTGCATAGCGGACTTTCATGCTGCTAGCATGCGCCACGCAAAATTTGGGCTTCGGACGTTGGCTAGAACACGCTCCTCGAATTTCGTAACATACACACAACACACACAACACACACAACACACACAACACACACACACCCTTAGCCCGTTATTATAAGTTACTAGCTGGCTTACCCGGCTCCGCCGTATCCGGACCAAACTTGGCACACATACACTTCGGGCCCCGGCGGGTGTCACAGTCCACTTTTCGTTATCGATCGATGTCGATTTTATCGATTTTTATCGATTTTTTTGCAGAATTCACCTACAAGGCTAGGAGTTGGCACAGGGGGGGGGGGGAGTGAGCATGGGGATTCCGAATACAATATTAGTTTTCAGAATTATCGATTACTTTTATTGATTTTATCGATTTTTTTGCAAAGTTTGAGCTACGGGGCTGGGAGTTCGCACAGGGGGGTAATCGAGCATGGGGATTACGAACACAATATTAGTTTTCAGGATCGTCCATCAATTTTATCGATTTTATCGATTTTTTTGTAAAGTTTGGCCTGCGGGGCTGGGAGTTTGCACAAAGGGGTAATCGAGCATGCAGATTACGAATACAATATTAGTTTTCAAGATCGTCCATTACTTTTATCGATTTTATCGATTTTTTGAAAATTTGAGCTAGGGGGCTGGAATTTGGCACAGGGGTGTAGTCGAGCATGCTGATCACCCCCCTTGGGGATGATCAGCATGCTCGATTACCCCCCTGTGCCAACTCCCAGCCCCCTAGCTCAAACTTTGCAAAAAAATCGATAAAATCGATAAAAGTAATCGATAATCCCGAAAACCAATATTGTATTCGGAATCCCCATGCTCGATTACCCCCATGTGCGAACTCCCAGCCCCGTAGCTCAAACTTTGCAAAAAAATCGATAAAATCGATAAAAGTAATCGATAATCCTGAAAACCAATATTGTATTCGGAATCCCCATGCTCGATCACCCCCCTGTGCCAACTCTCAGCCCCGTAGGTGAACTCAGCAAAAAATCGATAAAAATCGATAAAATCGATATCGATCGATGACGAAAAGTAGCCTATGACACCCGCCGGGGCCCGAAGTGTATGTGTGCCAAGTTTGGTCCGGATCGGTTCAGAAATGGAATTTTCTATTCGGAACATACGTACAGACATACATACATACAGACAGACAGACATACATACATACATACATACATGCATACATACAAACAGACATTCAGCTTTATATATAAGACTAGCGACCCTACGGGTCGCTAGTAGGTGGGTGGGGGCAAATACATTGATATCTGCCATTAATTAACTAAAATCCCAAGAAAGAGAATTTTCATCTTCCCAGCGACCTTCCGCATGTTGTGAGTAGTAGAAACAAAACACTATGCTCTTAATAAAAGGAAAAGAAGAAAAGAAGGAAAAGAAGCTTCTCTTAGGAAAAGAAGCTACTACCACTGACTATGCGCAAAGCATCTTTGCTGTTTTCTTGCACATACCTTTGCCCAGATACCACAGCCTTAAACAAGGAAGCTACCTCGAAGCACCTGTTTAGAGCAGCTGATTCATCCCAAAACTCAGATTGATTTCCAGGAAAGTGCCATGTTAAAGGAAGCGTCAATTTATGTCTTCCAGTAGCCAAAAACTCAGATATGTCGGTAAAAACGAAGCAGCATTTTCTTCGATGATGTCTTGCCAGTGAACGGGCTCATTTCTTGAACAGAAGCTGGCCCAGCGTTTTCTTTTGAAGGACAATCTTACCGAAACTGTCCTGTCGTATAAAACCCTAGTTCTTTCCTTCCCTCGAAACCAAGCTCCTTATGCTTCCGCTTTTAGCAGAAGTATGGTTGAGAAGAAGGGTAATTTTTCCAGCAAGTTTCTGTATAATCAAATATTGACACTTAAAAACTTTTAGCGCAAATATCTTGCAGCCTGAGCCCTGAGTCTTTTCTTCCCTCGAGACCAAGCTCCCTGTTTTTTGCTTCTAGGGACAAAAGTGTGGTTTTTGCAAAGTTCAGAAGGCCAGAATTTTCAGCAAAGATGATTTCCTGTCGCAAGAAGCTCATGGGTCTGTTTATATGTATGTCAAGAGGCGCGATTCCTATTACCAGATGGGCAGTATATAGCACATACTTAGTGTTTTATGAAGTTCCAGGATTATTTGAAATTTCAAAAGAAGTACATTAGAGAATTGCAGGAATTCTTCGATCTTATCATTTTGAAAGCGATTGAAAACAAAATTGTTGAAGGTCAAAAACCCATGAAAATGCAGTTTATAACAATTTTGTAACTATTTCGGTCAGTTTTCTAGCAAAAGTCGTCGAACTTATCAAATGGTTACTTCAAACAGCTAGTAAGCCGATGGACTTTGTCCGACACTTTTTGAACACTCCCATAGCGAGAAACTGAAGTTTTAAGTTGGTGACAGCCAGAAAAATCGCGCCTCTTGACCGTCTCCCGGTCTGTCTTTCCCTCGAGACCACTCTTCTGTTTTCAGAGGCAGAAGTCTGGTTTTTGCAGAGTGGAATGGCCACAAGTGAATTTTAAACAAGTTTCTGTAGAATACACATTGACACCCAGAAGTTTTCAGCGAAAATATCTTGCTGGCTGAGCTTATGAGTCTCTTTTCCTCGAAACCAAGCTATCTGTGCTGTTTTGCTTTTAGGGGTAGAAGTATGGATTTTGCAGAGTAGAATGGCCACGAGTTTCAAACAAGTTTCTGTATAATGAAACATCGACAACCAGAAACTTCTGGCGAAAACATCTTGTTGCCTGAGGCCATAATCCTTACTTCCCTCGAGACCAAGCTCCTTGTGCTTTTTTGTTTTTTGGGCCAGAAGTGTGGTTTTTGAGTTTTATGGTTTTTTGCGAAGTTTGGGAGTCAAAAGTCTTAGAAAAGTTTGGGAGTCAAAAGTCTTAGAAAATGTCTTGTCGGATGAAACTCATGGGTCTGTCTCTCTCTAGAGACTAAATCTCTGTGCTTTTCTGCTTTCAGGGCAAAAGTACTGGTTTTTGCGAAGTAGAAGGGGCCGAAAGTTTCTGTGAAAATGTCCTGTTGCAAGAAGCTCATTGGTCTGTCCTTCCTTAGAGACTAAATTCCCTGTGCTTTTCTGCTTTTAGGGGCAGAAGCACTGGTTTTTGCGAAGTCTAGGAGGTCAGACGCCCTAGCGAAAATGTTTGTCGCATGAAGCCTCATGGTTCTGCCATTTTCTCGAGACCAAGCTTTCCGTACTGTTTTGCTTTTGGAGGAAGAAGTAAGGTTTTTGCAGAGTAGAATGGCCAGAAGTAAATTTTAAGCAAGTTTCTGTATGATTATTGACACCCATAAACTTCTGGCGAGAATACCGTTGCCTGAAGCCATGATTCTTTCTTCCCCCGAGACTGGATTTTCTGTGCTTTTCTGCGTTTAGGGGCAGAAGTACTGGTTTTTGCGAAGTCTAGGGGGTCAAACGTCTTAGCGAGACTGTCCTGTTGGATGAAGCTCATGGGTCTGTCCTTCCCTCGAGAACACTTCGTGATTTTTTACTTTAAGAGGCAGAAGTATGGTTTTTTTTGCAAAGTAGAAGGGCCAGAAGTAAATTTTTGAAGCAAGTTTCAGTATGAATAAACGTTGACACCCAGAAAGTTTCAGCGAGAGTATCTTGCTGGCTGAGCTTATTAGTGTTTTCTTCTCGAGACCAAAAGGGCCAGAAGTAAATTTCAAGCAAGTTCTGTATAATCATTGACACCCAGAAACTTCTGGCAAAAGTCTCTTGCTGCCTGAGGCCATAATTCTTTCTTCCATCGAGACCAAGCTCCCTGTCTTTCTGCTTTTAGAGCCAGATATGTGGTTTTTGAGTTTTGTGGTTTTTGCAGTTTGAGAGCCTAAAGTTTCAGTGAAAATGCCGTGCCGGATGAAGCTCATGGGTCTGTCCTTCCCCAGAAACCACTTTTCTGCTTTCAGAGGCAGAAGTATGGTTTTTGCAGAGTGGAAGGGACAGAAGTGAATTTAAGGAAATTTCTGTGTAATTAGATATTGACTCGTAGAAATTCTTAGCGAAAATATCGGCATTTTTCCGTTATCCGGACCCATTTCTTCGAAAAGCTCCCATGTGATACTTTCTTTAGTCTAAGAATGATTTCTTATAGTTTCTACGAGGACTGCCTCCTTGCCACGTGTCACAAAAAAATTGACACTTTTCGGTTCATTCTGACATTTTTTTTCGAAACCATTTCCGGGGAGGTAAAAGAGATTGTAGTCACTTTTGAGCTGTTTAATTGTTTTACATAAAAGCAAAACAATCATGAATTTGTTTTAGATCATCTTGCTTGCTTTCAGTGGTGATTTAATAATGCTTTTCTCTTGAAACCCTTTTGGCCATGCGATTTTAGCCAGAAAAGACTATAAATGAAGCTTGAAGTCCCTTGCTGCCGCTTATTTTGCCTCTTAAATGATTCCATCTCACGCACTTCTCTATTCCGAGCAAGTCTAGGCTTGCCGCCTCAGTTTATAAGCATTTTCTTCCCTCGAAACCAGGCTCTATGTGCTTTTCTGATTTTGGGGGCAGAAGTAGGATTCAAAAAGGTAAAGGCGGGCCAAAGTGAATTTATAACAACTTTAGGTAAATTTACCGCCTTTGTCATTTCCGAGGTGAATAAAGAATTCTCAGCATGCTCACTTACCCCCGGATTAGTGCCATCTGAGCCTCGTAGCTTCAGCTTTGAAAAAAAGATGAAATCAATAAAAGTAATGGAAATTCGCAAAAACTATCTTTGCAGTGAGCGTGCTCACATACAACTTTGTGCAATGTCAGCCGTGTAGCTCTAATTTTACAAAGAATAGAAGAATCGACAAAAATAATAGGTTCTTCTAAGAACACTTATTACAATCGTAATCGGCATGCTCGCTTTCTCCCATGTGCCAAATCCCAGTTCCTGGCTTAAACTTTGCAAAAAATCGATAAAGCCAGTGAAGGTAAGTGACAAGTTGTAAAATAAAAATGTGCTCGTGAGCAGCATGCTCAATTACCTGCCTGTACCAATCCCCAACGCCATAATTCAAACATTGCAAAAAACCAAGCAAACCAATAGAAGTAAGGGGTATTTTCTGAAATGTTATGATCAGGGTAAAGCGGGGGGTGCGGCACGCCGCAAGGGGGGGGTCGTAAGGGGGGGGGGGGGTAGGTAGGGGGGGTCGTATTGACCCAAGGTCAAAAGCACTTGTACAAGCTGTGTGACTAAATTGACTTGATGAAAGCGCTGTTGAAATCCTGCAAAATTCAAGTTCAACGACACAAACTTGCAGATACCGTATGCCTACCGTAACCTACCGTACCTCTAATCAAGCATAATTGTCGTAATCCGCGTGTCGAATAACCCCTATGCGCCAAGTTTCAGCGAACTCTGAGGTCTCCGAGCAGTAAACAACCTTGTATAAAGCAGTAATTTAAAACATGATTAACTTCATCTTAACGGTGAGTAAGCTACATCTTCTTGCACTCAATACAAAGCACTACTCCTTCTTTGTCCACCTCAGGAATCCCGCTTCAGAAGACCTCCAAACTATTGAATTAGAAGCCAACCAAAATCGCTTCTAGGTTTTGATCGCTGTGCTTTCACCAAATATTACTCAGAGCTAAGAAGACGAATCAGGCTCAAAACATCCCTATGGAATCTACGAGGTTTAGGCTATTGATTCATATAGATATTGTCCGCTAAAAATGTTTTTTTGATATAGTTAATGGCCTGCGGCACCCCCCCCCCCTCAAAACCTGCGGCTGCCGCAGGTTTTGAGGGGGGGTGCCGCAGGCCATTAACTTAAGTTCAAAACGTTCAAACAGCTGCCTTTTTCATGTCAACCTATAGATCCATCCTTCCTCTCTCCGTAGTAGCATTTGCCACCCCCCAAGCGCTCCTCTTAGTAGAGATACGGTGGGTTTTCTGAACCCTACTCACCGAAGCACCTAGTCCGACAACCGCCGAAAATATTGGTGTACGGTAGGACTCGAAAAATTGCCATCACACCAACGGCGGGAGCCAGGACAGTTTGAAATGCGCATTTCAAAATCCACTCGTCTGCAGCACCTCACCTCACCTCACCTCACCTCACCTCACCTCATTTTGATTGTTCTTTTGTTTCTTTGGTTTCTTTTGTTATTCTGTTCTTTTGCAAAGTGCTTTTCAAAATGCATTTTGACGTTTTCGCCGTTCTGAACTCTTCTCAAAGCGTGTATTGAGTGCCTGAATACGTGTGGTGGATGAAGTGCCTTAGGGTTCTTGTCGTGTATCGTTTGTTTACTTGTTTATCCTGGATTCTGCAGCTTCAGAGTCATTTGTTGTAGTTTTATAACGTTCTTCAATAAAAGTTCTGTGAAAATTCTCTTCAAAAAAAAACGCTTCATATTGTCGTTTTAACCTTGCCTTTTCTCGTTGCACTCAAGATAACAATCTTTTCAGTTTTTGCCAATATTCTCTCATTATAGATGTTTACAGGAATTTTTGTTGCCTATATGCTACAAATGGTTTGTTCCTAACGAAACCTGCAACAATTCCTGTCAAACTGGGCTCTTCGAACAAGTAAGATTGTGCTGATTACTGTGGCCATAATCTGCAAAGGGCATGTAAAAAATGACTGAGGAGACCGCTGGTGTTGGTACAACTCCTGGAGGTACCGTAATCGGATCAGTTTCAAATGAATCGCAGAGTGAGTACTAACCTTTTCGCTAATGTTTCTTTATGTTTTTACTTTCATGTTTATTTTCATTTCGGCTGCTTCTCATTCGCATTTGAAAGTGCAGCTCGCACAATAATCGCATTTTGATTCAATGTCACCCTCTTCCGACCTTTTGGTTTGCTGCTACTTCCTCCCCCGCATTTTCTCCGCCTTCTAGACAGAATAAAATTTCAATAACATAGTGTCGCCGTGTGGGTGTCATCGCTACTGATAGTTTCGTTCTTGACACAGGAAAATTATTCCTAGAATCATTTAGAATTGAGCGCTTCTCAATCTATTATTCAACAAAAAATTTCTGGATTTTTTGTAATTACGTGGCCAATCCGCATAAATTGATAAGAGGGCGCCATGTACACAAGTAATGAATCATCCAGTCCTTATGTGATGTCACCATCACTGCAAAATCATACAGGTAATTTGCATCTTGTGGAGAGAGGTAATCTAGTTACTGCCTATATCCTTATCCGTGTTTTTCAGAAGACGGTGTCACGCACGAGAACAGTATAGCAAATGGAGGTTCGTCACCAAGTAAGTGATGTTTTGATCAATTCTTTTTTTTTTCGTTCGGACAACCATCAGTCTCATCTATTTTGTCGTTACATGCAGTCATGATTTTTGGCATAGTCTGACAAGGGAAAACCCGAAGTCGAAAATGGATTTCCACAGAAATATATACCAATCTGAAGAGCCAATCATTAAACGCTGACTCCAAAGCCGTCTTTATTATCTGCCAAGCACCTGATGCTGAGTTATGAGCTTTGTTTTGGCTCAAAAATTGAATGTGCAACTGATACAAATTAGTGCAAGATGGCCCAGCGATGGGTTAGAGGATCTATGGAAAACTTCTTGTCTAATAAACTCGTACTCTATACTTTTATTATTATATTAGTATTTGAGCGCTAGAAAGACCGGAACCCTTGATTTTACCTGGATTTTGCTGTCAATTTTCGCACCAAAAACACTTGTAACTCATCGTCTAGAGGCGCTTGGCAAAGAGCAAAGACAATTCGGAATCTTCGTTTGATGTTGTTCACATTGGTCTACATCTCATTTGGGAAGCCGATTTCGACTTCGGGTCCTCCCTTAGTGTGTTGAAAAGTGTTACTCTCTCATTACTACCGCAGCAGGTAATCGTGACTGAAGTTCTAAGAGTAACTATTGTAAACAGTTACTAGTGAGTTCTTTACATAGTTTTGCAGAATCCTGTAGACAGACTTCTTTCTCCTTTTTTTTGCAAATTAGCCTTAAGTTATTCAACAAATTGATTGATTGCTGAATGGCATAAATTTTCTGCCGAAACTTCCCAGCAGTTTTGCTCACATTATTTGCATATATCAAGCCGCTCCACACTTAGTGAGATGCGTTCTCTTATAACGAATGTTTTCTAGGTATTGAGTTCTCACAATCACGACCGAATGGACTATCAACAATATCCGGCGTTTTCGCGCCAGTGGCCTTGTCCATGTTCAGTGTTTTACTATTCATGAGAATGGGTAGGCAAGTTTCGAATTTCTTCTAAATTATCTCAGTCATATCGTTACAGGATTTGTCGTAGGACAGTTAGGATTCCTCATGACAGTAGTACAATTAGCAATGGCCTATGCAATTGTCATGCTAACGGTACTCTCCCTTTGCGCAATATCATCAAATGGAGCTGTTGAAGGAGGAGGAGTCTACTGTAAGTCTTGTCTTTTATGGCTATTCAGCAATGGTATCAGTGTTTTTGCAGATATGATCAGTAGATCTTTGGGGCCAGAATTTGGTGGAGCTATAGGAGTTCTGTTTTTCGTGGCAAATGTTTTTTCATGCGCTTTGTATATCTCTGGATTTACGGAAGAATTACTAAATAATCTCGGCAATGGACGTAAGTGCTTCTTTTTGTCTATCACCTCTTGATCGAAGACTCTTCCTTTTCAGAATTTCCTGACTCTCCTATGTGGAGGTTCCTTTACTGTGTACTTGTATCTGTTGCTTTACTAATCTTGAGTCTTCTTGGAGCTGGTATCTTTGCTAAACCCGCCTTAGTTACCTTTATCTTGATTTCGGTGAGTTTTTTGTATCGTTCTTTTACATCTATAAAACGGTTATTTTTGAGATTTGCTATTCTACCTGGATAATTTCTGTAATTGTGGATGGACCAATGCAAGTACCTATCCCCAAAGTGAATACTCCTGCTTATCGTGTGCATGAAAACGCATCCGATCCGAATAGCCCTATGATTGTGATGTTGAACCAGACGCTGACTGCAAACTATACCGGATTTAGATTAGCTGTCGTTGCTACTTGAATTCTTTGCCCATTCTAATCTTGCACACTGCTTTCGAAGTCTTGAAAATATCCGCAATCAGTACTATTGTGTGTCAGAAATTTTGATAAAAATTTTCTCATCTTACTATAATAACGCGCTAAGGGCGTCTGTTTTTTTGTGTTTGTGTCTGTCTGTAAATCTGTCTGTCACGAAATTCGTAGAACGTGTTCCAGCCAACCTCCTGAGCCCAAATTTTGCACAGCGCATGCTACCAACATAAGAGTCTAATATACAAAAGCGCGAACGTATCCGTTGTGTGGACCCCTCAAAAAATGCGCGGCGATCGGATCCACTTGGCTTTTGGCCAGTAAAATTGAGCCTGTAGCACAACATTGTGCAAAGTCGCTGATATGTTTGACAAGTTAATGTGCAAGCCAAGGACTTAAGCCAAAAAAATCGAGCAAAAGTTCATTACTTTGCGAAAACGAAACGACCAGAAAGGATTGGTTGCGTAAATGTTCAATTTGCCAAGATTTTGCCTTATCATTTGAGAAGATTTTTGCACAGAGTTTTAGCCCACGGTGATTACTGTATCTTACGGCCGAAGCTCAAGAGCTAGCTTGGGAGTTCGGGAGGGAGGAGGGGGGGGGGGGGGGGTAGGGAATGGGGGGGGGGGGTCGTGCCGAGGTCCGGCCCAAGGGGGGGGGGGTCGTATCCGGCGGTCGCGTGCCGCACCCCCCGCTTTACCCTGGTTATGGTATTCGTAATCAGCATGTTCCCTTACCCCCGTATGCCAACTCCCGGTCACGTAGTTCAAAATCTGCAGAAAAATCGATAGAATGATAAAAGTAATGGGTATTTATCAAAATGGTTATCATATTCGTAATCAGCATGCTCGATTACCCCCGCGTGCCAAACCCCAGCCCCGTAGCTTGAACCATGCAAAAAAATCGATAAAATGATAAAAAATAACTGATAATTCTAAAAGCTATATTGTATTCGTAATCAGCATGTTCGCTTGTCCTCCTGTGCCAACTCCCAGCCCCGTAGCTTGAACTTTGCCAAAAAATCGATAAAATGATAAAAATAACTGATAATTCTAAAAACTAATATTGTATTCGTAATCAGCATGTTCGCTTGTCCTCCTGTGCCAACTCCCAGCCCCGTAGCTTGAACTTTGCCAAAAAATCGAAAAAATGATAATAACTGATAATTCTAAAAACTAATACTGTATTCGTAATCAGCATGCTCGATTACCCCCGCGTGCCATTTCCTAGCTCCGTAGCTTGAACTTTGCAAAAAATTGATAAAATGATAAAAATAACTGATAATTCTAAAAACCAGTATTGTATTCGTAATCAGCATGTTCGCTTACCCTCTCGTGCCAACTTCCAGCCCTGTAGCTTGAACTTTGCCAAAAAATCGATAAAATGATAAAAGTAATGGGCATTTTTGAAAATGGTTATCATATTCGTAATCAGCATGCTCGATTACCCCCGTGTGCCAACTTCCAGCCCTGTAGCTTGAACTTTGCCAAAAAATCGATAAAATGATAAAAGTAATGGGCATTTTTGAAAATGGTTATCATATTCGTAATCAGCATGCTCGATTACCCCCGTATTCCAACCTCCAGCCCCTAGCTTGAACTTTGCCAAAAAATCGATAAAATGATAAAAGTAGTGGGCATTTTTGAAAATGGTTATCATATTCGTAATCAGCATGCTCGATTACCTCCGTGTGCCAACTCCCAGCCCCGTAGCTTGAACTTTGCCAGAAAATCGATAAAATGATAAAAGTAACTGATAATTCTAAAAGCTATATTGTATTCGTAATCAGCATGTTCGCTTGTCCTCCTGTGCCAACTCCCAGCCCCGTAGCTTGAACTTTGCCAAAAAATCGATAAAATGATAAAAATAACTGATAATTCTAAAAACTAATACTGTATTCGTAATCAGCATGCTCGATTACCCCCGCGTGCCAATTCCTAGCTCCGTAGCTTGAACTTTGCAAAAAATCGATAAAATGATAAAAATAACTGATAATTCTAAAAACCAGTATTGTATTCGTAATCAGCATGTTCGCTTACCCTGTCGTGCCAACTTCCAACCCCGTAGTCCAAAATTTGCAAACAAATCGATAAAATGATAAAAGTAATGGGCATTTTTGAAAATAGTTATCATATTCGTAATCAGCATGCTCGATTACCCCCGTATGCCAACCTCCAGCCCCGTAGCTTGAACTTCGCCAGAAAATCGATAAAATGATAAAAGTAATGGGCATTTTTGATAATGGTTATCAAATTCGTAATCAGCAAGCTCAATTACCCCCGTGTGCCAACTTCCAGCCCTGTAGCTTGAACTTTGCCAAAAAATCGATAAAATGATAAAAGTAATGGGCATTTTTGAAAATGGTTGTCATATTCGTAATCAGCATGCTCGATTACCTCCGTGTGCCAACTCCCAGTCCCGTAGCTTGAACTTTGCCAGAAAATCGATAAAATGATAAAAGTAATGGGCATTTTTGAAAATAGTTATCATATTCGTAATCAGCAAGCTCGATTACCCCCGTGTGCCAACTTCCAGCCCTGTAGCTTGAACTCTGCCAAAAAATCGATAAAATGATAAAAGTAATGGGCATTTTTGAAAATGGTTATCATATTCGTAATCAGCATGTTCGATTACCCCCCTGTGCCAACTCCCAGCCCCGTAGTTCAAAATTTACAAATGATCGATAAATTTGGTAGAAGTAATAACAAGCTTCCAAATGACAAACACGAAAACAACATCGAGGACCTACAGACAGCATCAACAAGCATGCTTATCCACCAGCGTACAGACAAGCCACCAGTGTACAGACAAAATCCCATTCGGTTTTATATATATAGAAGGATGATAATGCTTGACTGTGGTAAGTACTACAGTGCTGGACATGATTATAAAGACAGTCTAGAAATTGTCGTAATTTGCGTTCTTGTTGATGAATCTGTCTGAAACTTTGCTGTATAGTGCGCATGCTAGCCTACCATGACCCCTCAAAAGGGCTTCCAATTTTGTTGAGTCCCAACGGAGAAAACTTGAAAAATTCGAAATACCCCCTAATTGAAGCTGGACAAAATTATAAAGACATCTAATTTCTTTGAACACCATCGCAATTCCTGACTTTGAAATTTTTTTTGTACAGTTACACACTATAATATAAAATCTTTGCAACATCTGCGATCTAACATCCCTTTCAAAGAGAAATGTTCACTGCATTTTTTGCTCTCGAAAGCACCAAGAGTCAATCTGCTTCAACAAACAGTGGTTTAGAGGAGTTTTCAAGCTCTTGTTCGTCTCCAATGATAGTCATGGAATCAACTGAGCCTTTTCGATGAGTCGAGAAGCGTTTTCGTAAGGTCTTCATAACCGCTAATTTTTGACGGACAGACTTCAACCTCAACATAGGTTTGTCACGCTTTTAAACCATAAAACTCAATTTTCAAATAACAAAAAATACTGTAATGTAGCCATTACGTCGGCTGTACAACAGTAGACTTGTGTGCATACAATACCGCTCACATTTTTTGAAAAATAGACGCGAATGTATGGACATGTATGGACATGTGCGGACATGTCCATACATGTATGAACATGTAGCGACATGTCCATACATGTCCATACATGTCCATACATGTCAATACATGTATGGACATCACCGTCGCGTGGCCATATCTCGTTTCAGAGTGGACGAATTCTGAATACAAAGCCACCGTTTGATTCAGCTCGGGGAGAATCTTCTGATATATTGGAATTGGGGGTACGATGTCTTCGATATTCCGTTTCCAGTTCTTTCAATTTGTTCTGCAGAGGGTCTTCGCTAATATGTGAAGCAACGCCTACCCAACATAGAAGACTTTTCTAAGTACTATTCGATAATACTGTTCTTGTAGATTATTGTTCGCTAAAAATAGGCTCAGACTTCTTTCCAAAGGAGATAGAAGCGTTGGTGAATTTTGGAAAAATCACGCGTTTTTAAATTCTACTCGCCTTAACTTCCTTTGGAATAAGTACATTTTGAATCCGAAAACAGCGCCTTGCTCAGCTCATCAAGGCGAATCTTCTCATATGCAGCGTGTCCTTGATATTTCGATTTCAATATTCTTGAATCTTTCTGAGGCCGTCTTTTCGCGAAGGTGTAAAGCAGCGAGCATTGTCCCGAGTACATTCCCGCAAGGATCTTTCGATAGCACTTTTTCTGTAGATTATGATGTGCTGAATAGTAGCTGCAGCTTTCTTTTCAAAGGAAATAGAACGGCTGGTGAATTGTGGAAAAATCTTGTCGTCCCAAATTCTACTCGCCATATCCGCAGGATACGAAGCTATCTTGCTAAGCAGATGTGAGTTTCGAAATCAGCAGGTCGCATAACCTCTACGAGCAAGTTTTCCGATATGTTCGGGTTATTCCATTTTTTCTCTTTTTACGCTCCGGAAGCTCGCCGATGGATTTTGGTCAAAATGTTGATGCTCTTGAATTGTAAGGAAACATCGCTTATAGAGGTTTTCGAACACGCTCTTTACGAAAATCGGGGTCTTTGAGGATTACAAGGTCTTTTTGGAGGTTAACGGTGAGGTGACTGTAACTGCATCACGAAAGTGCGTAACTTTGGCCGCACTTCTCGCGTATCTATCAGAAACCTTGCCTGCTTGCTTTTCTCAGTCAAAGTTATTGGGAATTGTGCTATCGAAGGGTGCATTACTCAGCCTCCAGTCTATGAAATTCGCCGAGTTTTCTCATGAATTTTGCCCAAAATGTAAAGGTCGCATATTTCGTCGAAATTTCTCCGTGAGCGCTTGTACAACGCGCTGATCAAATCCTTCCACATTTTTTATAGATCTTATTGTGTTAGATTTGGTGCTTTGAGCTCTAGCCACGAAATAGCTTTGATATTCAATTGAGCAGATGATTCGGTACAGTGGGAGTCGTTCGACGAAGCGAACATAATATCTGCAACGAGCGTCATACAAGCGCTCGGAGGAATTTTTGATTGATTTTTGATTTTTGATTGAGATATTTGTGCAAAAAAAAACTGTTTTAGCGCCATCCAGAACGATGTCAAAAATGTGCATGAGCACGGTACTTTGAAAATTCGTAACTGGAGGCAGGGAAAGACTGAGAGGCTGCAATGAACAGGCTTTGTAGTATAGTGCCCATACTATCCAAGGAAAAAGTTTTAGCCATTGAGGAGCAGTAAGGTCGAAAAAATCTAGATGCGACTCTCGCAAATTTAAATGCGATCTAAAAAGCAAAAAATGGGATTTTTGAGCTTGAAATTTTGTATCTCACCGGAGAAGTTATGAAACAGTCTGAAATTCTTATGATAAAAAGTAGAGGGAGGGCTTCGTATTACAGCAAGTTTGCAGCTAACAAGCATCAATAGCTCCGGAGAAATTTAGATGAGGCGCAGATACGACCCCCCCTTTTTTTTTCATTTTTTGTTACCATACATAAAATCATAAGGAAATCCACAGTTGACAAAATAACACCAAATTTTGCACTGATATAGCAGAGCATCTCCAAAGTACAGATAAAACATATGGGCCCGTGAAAAATATTACAAAAAAATCTAGAAATTCATGATGGTCACAGCTGGTAAAGATATTCGCTTCTGTCGAGTGTGTGAGACTTCAGGAAGGCTTCAGAAGCAAGATTACTAGGGCAATCGTTAGTACATTTAGTATTTTTATCAAATCATACACCTTCAAAAGTGTTTTGAGCACTTGTAAATGTTTTTTTTTAGAATTTCTCCAGATTTTTTATCTTTTTATTCTGATTTCCACTTTTTTATAGATTTATTGTAAAGAACATAACTAATTATATGCTTTTTGATTCCCTTTTGAGCTTAGGGTACTTTAGCCTAACTATCTCCTCTTACGACCCCCCCCCCACCTTAGGTACCCTCTTTACGACCCCCGTTGCTACAGTGGTATCACTAGCTTGACCCTGGTTGCCGGTGTTGAAAGTGTTGAAAGTGTTGCGGTGTTGAAAGTGTTGGATGTGGAAATCATCAGACTTGTAGTTTCATTCCTCCTCGAGCGATCTCGCCGGCTGGTGGCTACTTTTGAAATGGAAATGGGGAATAAGAAATGAAAGTAAATAAAATGAGAAATGCTTTTGCACGCAAAAGATCCTCATACAAAACTTATGAAAAGTAAAGGACTTGGTTTGTATAGGGAATCTCCAACATTTGAGAAGCTGCCGAAGTTTGATGAGAACGCGTGTTAGATGTCGAATCCGGCCCTTTTGTGATTAGTGAGCGAAAGGGTTCGTTCATACTACGCCGCAGGCAGGCTGCTGCGTCTTGCGGCGTGCGCTGCACTACGCCGCGTCCTGCGGCGTAGTATGAAGGAACCCTTTCCATCACTAATCACAGAAGGGCCGGATTCGACATCTAACACGCATTCTCATCAGACTTCAGCAGCTTCTCAAATGTTGGAGATTTCCTATTCAAAACAAGCCCTTTACGTCCATAAGTTTTGTATGAGAATCTTTAGCGTGCAACAGCATTTCTCATTTTATTTACTTTCATTTCTTATTCCTCATTTCCATTGCAAAAGTAGCCACCAGCCGGCGAGATCGCTCGAGAAGGAATGGAACTACAAGTCCAATGATTTCCACATCCAACACTTTCAACACCGGCAACACTTTTAACACCGGCAACACTTTCAACACATTCAACACCGGCAACACTTTCAATACTTTCAACACCGGCAACAATTTCAACACAGGCAATACCGGCAAACTCTGACCGATCCCTAATATAAATGCTATGCTCGCAAAGCTACAAGAATGAGATCACGAGATTCCCTCCTAACATCCACTGAGAATGAGGTTTCACATGCACCGCGAGTACCGAAAAATGGGAAAATTTGCCTTTTTCTCGCATTAATACGAGCAATATATGCATGCAACTTGGGATGAATCAGTGTAGAGCTTGGAATAGGACCGAGTCCACTTACCAAGATTTCGTGCCGATGTTCGTGAAATTCGTGGTCGTGAAATTCGAAATGACGAGAGTCGAAGCATGTAAGGCTGGAAACCAGCGCAATCCTAAAGCGATCAAGTTTCAAATGAGCGATCACCCTCGCAAGGATTTCCGGCCAAGGTCTTATCAAGAGAAGAATCTGGTACCGCGAAAGTATCCACAAGATGTGTGATATAGTGAGCATGAAGCGATCAAATTAAACATCACTCAATATATGCGAATATACTGTGGTACTATTATCACCTTTCTATCATAATTCCACCAGTTAGACATGATTATTTTCACCTTTTCACAAGAATCATGCAAGTATAGAAAAATGAGGCTTGACTGTGGTAAGTACTACTTGCTAATTTTGTCATATTCAAAACGAAAAAAGCTGAAAAGTAAAATATCCTCTGTCTCATAATTTGTGGCTGACGAACATAAAATTCATGAATTGTCATTATTTGATTATATACAGGGCTTTTGGAAAGTATCTGGCCTAAAGTACTTCCAAGTCAAATTTTGACGCGCTTTCTGTTTTATTATGCTCATCAAATCTAGAAACCATCATTGATAAAATCAGATTTCTTCGTGGTTTCTTTGATTTTTCTAAATTGAATCAGTGTACCTCTCCAGGCCCCTTCCCTAATTGCTTGTTATAAAGAAGAAAACATATTTTACTGGAAACTTTGTACCCCATCTGAAAGAACTTCTTTCTAATTTTTTACATGTACTTTTACCTTCGTAGAAATGAGTTTGTCTTAAGACATCGTAATTTAATGGACAAGAGATCTTCAAAACTTTGTCGTCAAAGAAAACCAGCTCCAAAATTTTTATATTTCATCTTCAGAAATTTTTACAAATGCGCATTTTTAAAACGAACATAATGAGAGCTAGAGAAATGCGCAAACGCACATTGAAATATGACTTCCATTTGCGAACTAACAATTTCAACGGAAACCTGCACGGTCTGCTGTAATTTAGTGACATGGAGAACATTGTTCGCAGGTTACTGGAGATCTTTCGTTATATAATGACAAGACTTGGAACTTTTTGTAATGGGAAAATGGAATGTTGTTTCCGTTTCCCGGCTTTGAAAAAGAATAGGGCAAGCCAGATAACGCACATTTCCGGGTTTTCGAAGACTAAAAAATCGGTTACTTTCTCCTTCTTGGAGTATCCTAAAAGGAAAAATTCGTTCGTTGTTGATTTAGTAGTTCGGTTTAGCGCGAACACATGTGCGAAAAATCGAGTTGGAATTCGCAACTGAAGTACTTGAAGCCAAATGCTTTCAAACACCCTGAAATTTGCCCATTCAACACCAATAACACTTGCTAAATAAAATATCGCAACGGAGCGAAAAAATCATAGGCACCATGCTGAGATAGCAAGCTGACAAGTAAGTTTTTGCCAAGATGCTATATCAACGAGAGTTGCTGCCATAAAATCGAGGATGTAAGCCTCCCCGATAAATCCATAACCATAACGCCGTATATAACTCCGATCTACAGGTAAGCCCCCCATAAGCGCCTTGACAAAGCGCGATCTGGTTTTCTGCTAAGAAAAACGAACTTATTTTTGGTGGCTCAGGGAAACAAAAAAGCGGACTCACACGCTAGATTTCGAAGTACGAAAAATATTTCACGTATTTTTCTACATGTATAAGAACTACTATGGTTTTCCAGCCAAAGCTATAGAGCTGGAGTGTAAAAAAAACGGCGTTTATTTTCCGTTTTCCGGCTTTGAGAAAAAGTAGAACAAATCTATCCATTTCGACATAGACCTATGCGACTGCTTTACCACAGAAAATGAATTTTATTCTTCAAAAGGATACGAGCTCGATACCAGAAAGGAATTTTCATGTTCACTTGTGCAAAGAATCTGAGAAGTTCCATGCGAAAAGTTGAGAAAGTTATAGCTTGGAAAATAGGGGGAAAAAGCTAGATCGTGCGAGGAAAGATTGTAAACGGAAATTCGTGTGGAGTTATTACGACGAAAAATTTAAAACTAACAGTAAGGCATTGAGATTATGTTACAGTGCACTGAAAGGTGATTTTGCACACAAAAAATTATAGCATTTATTAATAATGATATATGATATGTGATAAAATTAACAATCAATGAACCCCTCCAAAACACTGGCTGAGGTCGAGATGTAGGTAAAAAAGTGAGATCACGATGATCAAACGAACAGATCAGCAAACTATAGATATAATTTCACTCGGTAGAGCTAAAATCAAAATTCGAAAACACACTAATTCTATCAGCATGAACGCCGATGGCAGCGTGTAGCCGTTCTGCAGGCATCGTGAACAACTCCTTCAAATTCGTTACCTAAATACCATACAGTATAAATGCCGGCTGCATGCAAAAAAAAAACTAGCAAATGAACCTTCTGACTGAGCATCATCGTTTGCACATCGCCTCTTCCCATGCCGGGTAAATGCTGAGCCATATGTCTTAGTAAAACAGCGTTGGGCTTTTTTCGCTTCTCTGGGGTGTCGTGTGATTCTTCTAAGAACAGGCAGTATTCTCAATGTGAGTAAGAGATCAATTCAACCTTCTATCTGTTTGAAGACATCGTCTCCTCGCAAGGAAACAGCTTTTTCCGGGTCAGGCTCAGCTCGATTGAGCTAAAAATATTCAAGTGATATGCAGCTACCAATGTAACCACGTCCGGGCTTACTTTCATTTCCGCAAAGTATTCAGCAGAATTTGCTGGTGACAACGACCATATCAACTTCAGCTTGGGAGTAGCGCGTAATAGCGAACAAAGTAGCGCTCTTATCTCACGACAATGTCGCGTCAGTTCTCCCTATAAACATAACCTTCTTCAAGCACATATTTTCCTATTACCTTACCTGAAAAGGACCACCGTTAACAATTTTTGACTCAAACTTTCGATTTGACTCTATCAAAAGCACCGAGTTAGCATAGTGCCGCAACATCTGAAAATGATCACAGCATGGTCACAATAGTGATCACATAATGACATTCGTAGAATAAAATGAACAGCCTTGCCTGCTCAGACTGCTTGAAAACTCTTCCAGATTGTAGCGATTGTGTCAGGTCGTCAAGTGCTTTTCTCTCCACAGCTATTCCAGGCGAGAGAACATAATCACCCACCTGTGAACGATATAAATTTGCACAGCTATTGAGATGACACAAATATTATTGTGACGCTCTACTAGAACTGTGTTTAGTGCAAAGCTAATCTAGGAAATTCTCAAGCGAAAACTGGTCCTTAGGCTTCAGAAAATCCAAATTGATTAATTAATTGATTACTCAATCAATTGAGTTATTGCGCATGAAGTGCCTACTTCAATAACTCAAAACAGGTGTCCAAAGCCCGAGGACCAGTTTTCGCTTAGAAGTGTTCTGGTTAAGCTTTGCACTAAACATAGTCCTAATAGAACGCCACTACCATCAAATTTGGGAGAATATGTTAAACTAAGCCAAAAAACTCTATCTCCAACTTCTTCAAAATAATGTGAGACATGCAACAGATAGATTGAAACTGATGAAGATTACAGGGAAAACCGTTAAACGTCTACTGCAAGTCTTACCTCAAGCGTGACAGCAACCACATCGTATCCCTTTTTGTACAAGACAGTCGGTAGTTCGCTATTGAATTCTCGCATATCAACTACTACCTGAAATTGACGTGCACAAATGGCCAAAGAACAAAATCTAATAGAATGATTTGGATAACCCAGGGTTCACCTTAGGTCGCTCATCCGTTTCTGGGACTTGTCCGCCACCATCACGCGTAGAAAGCTCAAGTCGCAGTACTTCTTCTCGAACAGTTTCATATCGTCGTGGAATAAGTAGAGTCTAAAAAAATTCTATTAAGTTCTTTCTGATGAATTGAAAAGCGTCAGATGGTCGGAGAAAATTGTGGTCAGCAGCTAGACTAAAAATTATATAAATTTGTGTGTAGTGAAGAACTTGAGAAATACCTTCTGTTCCTTGAACAAGGATTCAAAAGCATCCGTCTCATTTTTAAGCGCTGTGAGGTAGCGTGACTCTTCTGTAGACTCTCTATACATCAACGAGAAGATATGAAGGAACAGATCAGCATGACAAGCTTTATAAATCTGTAACAAGACCATTTTAATCATTTCCTGGAACAGAGAGATCAAACGAGGAGAAGGTAATTAAATTTACCTCAATATGTCTCAAGGTTATAACATCCGTATTGTAGAGTATAATTACAGTGGGTTTCATCTGCTCAAGTTGCTTAAGGATTGTGTAGCGTTCACCGTAAGCCATGATGACCAATGGGACCTAAATCTAATGTATTCACCAGCAAAACAAAAACTTTCTAAGAACTCAGCAGAAGCCCCATCCCAACCTTTTCGTGCTCTCCAATTGTCTTTGCCTCTTCCGGCTTTTCTTCATATCCATCGTCAACAGGTTCTGGTTTTGCTATACTTGGGGTTGCCTGCTGGAAAATCATATCTTCAGTAGAACAAATCAGATGCCAAAATTTCCTTTGCTAACTATAATCTTTATTCGTATTGCATAACAGACTACGAATAACATGACATTATTGTTGATATATTTACCACATCGATAAGACTGCGTTAAAATTTGGCCTCAGAAACAGTGAAAATTGCAGGTGTTATCTGCGTGCACTGACCATTTTTTTCTTGGATAAACAAAAAAGCCATAAAAGCGCAGCAGTGACTGAATCTGAAGCTACATCATTTCATATGTTTCGCGCAAATATTTGAAGATGAGTCATACGCACTACTGCGAAAAAATTCAATCTTGATCCAGAGTTTTGCAACAAAAAAAAAACTGTAATATGTCGTAGCAGGACTCTTTCTATCATAGCATGTTTTCTAAATGATGGGAGCTTTCTGTGAAAGCGTCTGACAATATTGATGATGACTAAATGCGTGTTACAACAAGGGCATTAGCCAACATTTCATTGGTGGCTGCAACACACATTCCGAGTTCCAAAGACGTCAACTCACTTTCTGAAACCTTTGTTTTTGTAAAGCATAGTTCGTTCTCTACAGATATTTTGTCAAAATCTTGTCTGGTTATGCTTCAATTTGCACAAAGGCTTACTCTTTTATGATGCGAGAATCGAGAAATCTCAAAAAGAAAGCTACAAAACTTATTTGCCAAGTCAGGATATCAAAACTCTGAAAAGTGAACCCTTTAAGCTTCTCTCAGCTATTCTATTGCTGTCTTATCTATACCCATGAATTTTCTCATTGCTGATACTTGAGATGGAAGACTATCTATCGCTTCCGAAACCAATCAAAATTGATTATTACTCTAACTGTATCCAACCAAGATAATTCACAGGCCTCCAGTAGCCGAAGCCGAGAGGGTGGATGTCTTTAAGATGACTCGTTACCCAGGCAATTAATGGTAATTATGAGAACCCATACGTCCACAACACCTTCAGTGTTCCCACAAGAATTAACACTTCATATTGTTTAATCAAGTTGTAACAAGTTCGACAAGTCGCCCTGCTGCACTTCGATTTGGCCAAATTAGGGGATATTAGCAATCAGAGCTGTTTTTTTCCCTGTCAAAAAAATCTCATATCCAAAAATCTTTTGCATTTTCTTCTCTCAAAAACTTTTCACCCATTTCTGATGTTGGTTTGCTTCACTGCTTCTTCCTAAAGAACGCGCTCATCGATTCAAAGCGCTTGCTCTTCGGCACTAATGAATCGAACCTGCACTAAGCTAATCCCACTTGACATATCTAGGCTGTCAATTGCTCTCTCTCTACTTTGTTGCAACAATCCTGTTGTCCACTTCAGCTATTTCGTCCTAGAATTATTTTGATAATTATAAGAAACTTATCTTTTCATAGCTGCTTATTCAAAACTAAAGTCCGATGTGACGGCAAAATGACCTCATTTTGGCCTTCCCACATACTACGCAATGTTTATGGATATCAGATTTCCTACAAGTTTATAAATGGTGCAACAAAGCCTTCTACGATCATTTTACACCGCGCGTACTCCATTTCTGTCATCATTTGCAACTTGTGCGAGCTCAGATTATTTTTGCACATCAAAGTACAACTTCATCTGCAGGGTACAAATTTTCAAAATGAACGGCTTCAGCAACGGATGCAACGGAACTACCTATACTACTCGCAAGTCCAAAAGAGTAAGTTCGAAAATATAAAAAAAAATCTTGCAAGATAATGTTGTAACGTTGCATTTTTGCAGTATGAATTAAACAGCTACAATTTGATATTTGATCTACAGGTTGCAAAAATCTTCAGATACTGGTTTTCCTATCATCCTTTCTCAATCGAATGTGGTATTAGGTTGATGAGATACATGCTTGCTTTTCTCCTCATTGAATGTACCATTCACTCCGAGAGAAAAAACAATCCTATGACCCTAGTCAAAATTCAGCTATGAACTTAATGTTAGATGATATTCATATTTTCTTTAGCCAAGTCTCTGCAAAGCAAAAGATTAAAGATTAGGTTTGTATTTTAGCAACCAAAGGAAAGCTATTTAGTTGCACTAACTGACAAAAAATGTTATACGAGCATTCTCTTTCAAAAAAAAAAAAAACAACAAAAAATTAGCAAAATAATAATATTATAAAAAAATAAGAATAAAATAGAATAAAATATATATACAAATAAAAATAATATAACAAAAATTAAACAATAAAATTTCAACGCAGAAGTTTCAAAAAACTCGATTGAAACAATGAGAGGAATTTGAAGAATAATCATTTGAATTCCAAAACCAAAGCTCAGAATAGAATTAGATAGATAATTTTTTATATGTGTTATTGCAAAGTCAACAACAAATAGATATTATATTTAAATGAAAGCAATAGGCTGGAAAATCCAAGAACCATTATTAATACACACATATAATCAGCATGATAGTACTTCGATAGAACCCAAGTATAAAATCGTGACCAAAAATCAATTTGATTTGAGTAAACGCTTTAGCAATTTCAACAACCAAAATGAAAATGCTTTTGAGTGTTCTCCTTGATCGTTTTGTCATGAACACCACCGGACAGCGCAAGATTTTCTCTACCCAATACCTACTATAAGCTTAAACGATTTCGTGAAGCTGAAGGAGATTGTAAGCTTTCGAAATTTTCTAGTGCAGGAATTATGCATCAACCTGATACTTCCTTCTGGAAAACATGATAATCATGCAATACATAATCAATGCAATTTAGCTTATCGTCGATTCGCCGCATGTTCGACGCGATGGTGACGAGGTAGAAACGAAATTCATCTATCGGAAAAATCACTTCTTTCGCACCACCGATGGATTGAAGGTTACCCCAAAGGAGCATGAGTACCTGTTCAAAACCCAGCTTAAACCAAAGAAGACAGGTGAGTCAAACACTCATTCTGGCCATGGACCATTTCAAAAATTCAGGTCTCTTACTCGTTGGTCTTGGTGGGAATAATGGATCCACATCTGTTGGAGCAATTTTCGCTAACAAAAAGCATATGACATGGCGTACGAAAGAAGGAGTACAAGCGGCTAACTATTTTGGGTGATGACCCTGGGATTTTGAGGAATCTGTGCACCCTATTAACGTCCTTCCAGCTCCTTCACACAATCATCAACCATACACCTTGGTTGGGATGGAGAGGAACAGATCCATGTTCCCTTCAAGGAGATCATTCCGATCCTTTCACCTGACGATCTCATCATAGATGGCTGGGACATCAACAACAAGAATCTCTACGAGGCAATGCTACGAGCTAAGGTTAGATACCAACTTTTGATTTACACCTTCATAACAGAGAGTTACTCTAGGTTTTCGAACCAGAACTTCAAGAGAAGCTTCGTCCTTATATGGAGGCAATAGTGCCAATGCCTTCTATCTACTATCCTGATTTCATAGCTGCTAACCAAGGAGACAGGGTGAACAACATAATCCCAGGAAAAAACAAACAACAGCATTTGGAGCATATTCGGCAAGACATTCGTAACTTCAAGCAGAAACATGACCTAGGTGAGTTCGTTCAACGTCTGCCATGCTACTCATACTGCTAAACTGCTCAAAGGGCCATCTTCATCTAAAGATTGAATCTCCTAGAATGTGTAATCGTGCTCTGGACTGCAAATACAGAACGCTACACAGACGTCGTTGATGGGCTGAACATGACTGCGGATCAAATTCTAACTTCCATCGCAGCTAGCGCCGATGAGGTAAGCTTCTAAGGCTTTACCAATCGCAAAAAACAATTCCAGTAAAGACATAATCAATGGTCCAAAGTGCGTACTAAATCCCGTTGACTTTATAGATCTCTCCATCCAACATTTTTGCCGTGGCTGCAATCCTCGAAGGAGCTCACTATATAAATGGATCGCCACAAAATACGTTGGTGCCAGGAATCATAGAATTAGCAAGACAGGTAATTATGTATATAGCTCCATTTTGAGCACGGCATGGCTATATCTCATGACGATGACGGATTCGCTCCATGCAAGTTCCTTTAGCACAACGTCTTCGTTGGCGGTGATGATTTCAAATCTGGGCAGACAAAGATCAAATCTGCCCTAGTTGACTTTCTTGTCAGCAGTGGACTCAAGCCAGAGTCCATAGTCTCCTACAATCATTTGGGAAACAACGATGGAAAAAACCTCAGCGAGGCTAGACAATTCAGATCCAAGGTGAATTGTGTTTTACAACATTAGCCCCCTCCCCGCCCCCTTAATTACGCACTCTCCAGGAAATCTCGAAATCCTCTGTGGTCGACGACATGGTCCAGTCCAACAGGATTCTATATCCAGATGGCAAAAATCCCGACCACTGCATCGTAATCAAATATGTACCGTTTGTTGGTGACTCGAAAAGAGCCATGGACGAGTATATCTGCAGGTTTGCGATTGTTGTCCTTGGATCAGATTGCAGAGACACATTTTCAGCATCTTTATGGGTGGTCGCCAGACTTTCGTCATTCATAACACATGCGAAGACTCCTTGCTTGCTTCTCCGCTCATCTATGATTTAGCCATTCTCACTGAGCTAGCTACACGAATCCGCTACGCTGACGCAGCAGATGGACAATTCCGAACTTTTCACGAGGTGAAAAATTTTCGAAACCGCTGGTTCTCAACAAATAGTTGCTGGCCATGGTCCTTGGATACAGCAGTCAGATGAAAGGAAAAGCAAGATTTTAGTCCCCTAGTTAGTCAAACATTAGGCTGGCTAAAAAAATAATTCCGAAAGGTTTTAATGGTTCATGGAAATGTTACACATTTTTTGTATGGATGTACGGTAAATTTACGCACATATATAATTAATAATCCTCATCTACGGTCATAGATGGTTAACTCCAAACTATCTGAACAACCCAAAAAATTACTTCTGCACATAAAAGAAATTTTGACTACAGAAATTCATAAAGTGCAGAGATCGCAGCCAAATTGCGTGTCAATCACCAGTTTCATCTTTGTATCCACCTCATATCAGCATGAAAACGAGACTTAAACCTCCGAAATGAATTTCACCGTAGCCATAAGGACTTTACAGTGGCGGTCGCATGATTTCCGTCCTGAGAAGGGGGCCAGAAATTAATTCTAAATGGAGGTGCATGACGTTAGCATGGACTTCGAAAAATTTTTTGTGATGTTCTCAGTAATTTCGCGGGCCCCCAAAAAATTTTACAAGGCTAATATGAATTTTTGGAAGATCAAAATTATATGAGTTATTTAGAAAATTGAACAATTCACTTGCAAACTTTTATAAACAATGTAAGTAAATTTTGAAATTTTCAAGACCCATTCTCGCCCCCCCCCCCCCCCGCCTCGATCTCCCACTGGGACATTATTGTCTCTAACTAATGTAAAAAAAACTTTGAATATTCACTATACGATAGTAAACTGCACTAAACTATCTTCGCACAAGAAACCGTAGCCAAATGAGATGCTCATTTTTACGAAGTTCTGTTGCAATGTCAAGACAAAACTCTATCCAAGATATTAGGCACTTTTCAGGTACTTTCGATGCTATCACTGCTACTCAAAGCGCCAGTGGTCCCAGCAGGTACACCCGTCAGCAATGCGTTTATGCGACAATTCGCCTCGCTAACAAAGCTCATCACGGTGCTTGCCGGTGTGGCCAGCGACACCGATATGCAAATCGAGTTCTTCACTCAACTACCAAAGGCAATGGATACGTAAGTGCCCATACATAGTCAGCAAAACTCCTCTTTCACCATCACAGACTTTGGTTTAAAATTTGTGCATTACGTGTGCTATCAATTTTTAGTGAGGACACTTGAAAATAGACCAAATCCTAGGGACTTTCCACGGTATACTCGATTGTTTTCTGATGCAAATACATTCAGGCTTGACCAGTTTACAGTGAAAGGAATGTGAAAGACAACCACTGAGGATGACGCTCCTACAAGTTACCGTGTTCAATATGAGCTTAAAGTAGATATTCTCAGAGTTTGTTATTTATTGTGAATCAAGTATGTTGTTATGGTTTTCAATTCGTACATAGATGCTCTTGTGACCAATGAGTCTAGTGCAGTTAGGCAGAGCAGGAATTTTTTTCTTCTATAAACACATACTGTAAAAAACAGCACCTGAGGTTCGTCGCTTTTTCGTTTTTTGTACTGCAAAATACCAAACTGCACTATCTTCGTTTGCTTCCCTCCATGGTCAGAAGTCCCAACAAGATCCTCAGCTGCCTGTAAGCAAGAAAATAAAAGGCAATTTGTTCTACAACTACTCAAGTTGAGGGCACGCTTCCACACAAAAAGAGTAAGTCTTCAAAAATTTCATGCATCATGGCAGCTGATACATTTGTGAGCGTGAGGGGATCATAATAGGGGCTAATAACACAAAAAGGTTTGGCTACTTCAAGTTCAGAAAGAAAAGACACCACAACCACGTTTCCGAATGCAAACATCATGGAAATTCGTTGGAAAATTCACCTTTCGACGTCGCTTTGAAGCTCGCGCGGCAGCTACTGTGCTCTTCTGGAGATCAGAAACCAACTCCTTACGAGGTTCTTGTACCTTGAAATAGTCAAGTTTGTGGTGTCTAAGTGAGTGAAGTTCTCTACCAGGTTTCCTCTCTGGAAAGGAATTACATGATCAACATTCCACAGAGGCATTTTCTCGGGTTCTTTGCCCGCTCCTGCACCCAGAGCCCTCCTTGCTAGCCATCTAAGGAAATCAGGTCCATTCTTGATCAAATCGGTAACCTGTCGTGCTACGCTGTCATTATTTACAAGCAGCAATACCGAAGGTCCTGGAGATAGACGTAAAACTGATGAGACACTTTCTACAGTAAAATACCGTCGGGTCCAACTTCACTTGGGCGAACAGGAATGCTTTTAATCTCATCCAATACCGACATGAGAACTTGCCATTTTGGGGGTGCTGTAAATCATTCTTATAAGCTCTTAGAGAATACACGTTATATCTAAACGAAAAAAGGAGGGAAGCAGTTATGGCAAATAGGATAGGGCCCAAGCGATAACCAGCGACAATGCAATCACTTACGGACAAAAGGATGACTCTTGTAGGAACCATAACCACATAAATTCTCCAAATCAGCGATGAGAGTCGCGGCTACCCGAGATATCATCCAACCACCACTTTTTTCAAAAGCCTGGAACGAATAATCTATTGGTTGGAAAATCATTGAATATGGTGGTACGACACGGTACCTCTTTGTCGTTTCTAACGGCGTTGATTCGGCTGAGCACAGTGGCTGCATCCATATCTTCTGCAGTTTGCAGTAATTCCCTCAGAAGAGTCAGATCGGACATGAGACGACTTTGTTTTTCGGTGAGAAAAGACCTGTTAATGAACGCGACATACGAATAGAATCTGGACTGTCAAGATTTACTGCCAGAGAGGAATGTGCCTTTTCAGATTTCTTAAACTTTGTTCGCTACATATAGAGGAAACTCAGCGCACCCAAAGATTGGACGCGTTTACGTCCGCTGAGACAGTTCGCAGTTAATAGAGACCGCAGACAGCTAAAGAAATGAGAGTGCGTACAATCAAAGAAACGAGCCAGGCTTCCGCAACAGCGTCCTGTCTGTACGCTCAACGACTCGCTTAAACAGGCTACCTCGACTGCGGTGTCGGGCAGCGCGGGGTCGCGCGCAGCCGCCTCGCCTGGACCCTGCAGTCGAGCTTCAGTTGTTGATTAGGCGTGGGAAAATGATCAAAAAGCACGTTCGCGAAAGAGGTGCAAGCTCAGGCGAGGCGGTATCGCATGGGATTTGAGCGCACTCAACACTGCACTTGAGACAGCCTTTAACTTTTCTTGCTTTATGTGCGATCCGCGCATGCGTAGAAAACTATGCGCAAAACGAATATTTTGGTTTGAACTATTCAAAATGATCTCTGGATGACATTCTAAACAGGGACTTCGAAAAGTTACCTTCTTTCTCCGAGCTGTCTTTCCAAAAGGCTGGGTCTGTAGACAGCAACATTCACCGTGTCCTCTTCTTGTACTGCCTAGGTGCTGCAACTCACTTGAAGCAGTAAGTTACTATGAAAATCAAACCTGCTTCTCCACTGTTGAACACTGCTTTAGCTCACGAATGCATACTTTCAACAACTCAACAAACGTGGTGTGTACCCTACGCATTGTAGCCGGAAGATCGACGATCATCTCTGTCATGGCTGGCTGAGATAAAGCTGTTCAAGATTTCGTCACCGGTGGATATGCAATTCTCTCTTACCGGGCATTTCTCCAATGTTATTCTGACATCAGTGTCAAAGCGTGGTATGAGGCGTACTCGCCTTATATACAAACGATCCACTACTCTTTGTAACTGGCCGAGTGCGCATACCGCAGTGGGAATATCCGTGAACGCCTAGAAAGGCGAGAGGCAGAACTGTGTGTGTAGTCAATTCAGAATCAAATCAAAAAGTAACTACACACCTTGACAAAACCTCCCGGTTTTCTTTCGCGGTACAAGCGCAGAATGAAAGACTCTTGAAACGATGAAAGAACCCTAGAATGCGCAGAATGCGAGGAATTCCCCACTGCTGAAGCTGCATTCATTGTTGTCCGTATACTGGCAATTGGCAGCGCCGCATCCAGTGGCCTTTTCTAGGTTTCCGTCACCGCATGCGCCGCGCAAAGTATTTCGTGAACTGTGCTGGCATGCAGGCGACTATGAATGCCACACAAAAAAATACTCACTGATGAGCTCGGTAAACCAAGATACCAGCAATATTCTTTACAGGCACACGATCAGTTAACAAGTCAACAAGTAATATACGAGACGTAATAAATTGCACTCCACCTTCGAGATACACAGCTTCCCTAAAGGTTTTGATGTATGAACACTGTCATGGTAAAACCAATTTTTCCAAAGCCATTTAACAAAATTTGGTAGTTTGTTTTTCTTGACCAGCTCAGCAGCTCAGCAACAGTGAAAGATCCCTATTCATGAGGCATTTCTCGAAGTACTCACACTGTGTGATACATAACGCAGATTTCGAAATTATTCTTTATACTAGGAGAATATCAATTAATGGCTTCTCCTCGCCAAGAAGGCGTGAATATCACCAGAGTTACTAGCGCAAATTTCCGCTCTATAATAATCCAAAAGTGTTCGACGTAAAATGTTTCTTCGAAAGCTTGACTTCAAGGCAATTGTTCCACAAAAGAAATTCTTGAAAGCATCCAAATAAACCCTCTGACTCGATATCAGTGTCACCGGCTCATGTAGATAGCTAACGTCGCGCGCATCCATATGCGTTGCGTAGGTCAAATTTTCTTCAAATATATATTCAAGCCATTGTCACCAAACCTCGAAAAAAACTCTGGGAACTCGATGGGCTCTAATTGCCCTTCGAAACCATTTCCAATAACAAAAAACTTATTGCCTCTAAAACGACAACTTTATTTGCGTCATAGTGACAACCACAGGAGTACCATGTGTTTGTTTGCAATCTTTCTTCTGTGAATGTTTTGCAGAGAATACATAGCCAGAAAAGAATAAAACTAACCTGTCCTTGGTCGAAACATCAGCATTTATCAATTTTGGTGGACATGGAACATTGACCGCTTTGAGTTGCGAGATGAAATATGACTGCAATGAAAATGAGATACCCATTGAAAAAGATTAAACAATGGACGTATTACACCATATACAGACTACTGTTATAATATGGAATAACGCGAGACTGATTTACAGTCTGTAACAGACTTGTAAGATATGCAGTTGCATGGGTTATCAACCGAAGCAGATACTTCCCGCGTAGCCAACAAAGTATGTCCAGAAAAAAACTAATAACAATTTGTTTCCCTGCCATCTGGGTAGCCACGTGCTCCCTCTTCTTACCAACTACGCAGGTGGGCATTACGCAGCGATCTTCGATTTATGCGGCGAGTTTGGACACTCAACCGCTTGCGAATGCGACATGGGTCCCTAGCGTTGCGTTTGAGCTAATCGGAAAAGGAACATCATTGACACAAACTATATACCAACCTCATCGTGTTGTGATGTGTTCAAAACTATAGTTAGAAGTTTCTGATCAGAATACATTATGAGGTGATTGAGAAAAAGTCTTTCCATACCAAGACCCCTAAAAAGGCTTTTCAAGGAATGTTAATCCTCAATGAGAGATTTACCTCCCATGAATGAAGATGACATCATCGTCCATGGTGTCAACCATGATACGCTGTTCATATTCAAGAATCTCAATAGTGCCATGGCATGGATCATCTTCAAGTTCTTCATCGGACAAGACTTCACGTTTGATGAAAAGAGCCATTTTTAGCTAGGCATCAGTCGTTTACAAAAGACCAAAATAGCATCTAAATGAACAAACTGCAGCACTATTTTTGCACATTTTTCGAATTACTACTCAATTATTCTCAACCATGCACAAAAACGCCTGCTTTACAGGTGGAGTTCGTAACTACTAGTGAGACATCCTTCAACATACAAACACTTGTTACAAAACCGTGCACAAATATTTGTTTGTACAACCCTGCAAAAAAACTGCGAAACATTTCAGTACCTTTATTACAGTATTTGAAGCTCATAAATTCGGTAAACTAAGATTTACAAACGAGATCTCGAAAATGAAACACTATGCTATGAGAACGATGTAGCTGACGAGTGTGCATGATGACAACAGAAACATGGAATGCATACCAGTAAGATACGTCAGATAAATTGGACGACTAGTCGTAAAATGCATGCGGAAGATAGCTGCAGAGAGATATGGAAGAACGCTGAACTCAAAAATAATAGCCAGGCATCTGAGACCAGATAAGGTCAATGTTCGGGAACAAAAGCCCTCTAAAGATGAGAGTGAAGTTCGTGTGTATCTCACGCTTTCGGGAGCAGAGTTACACCACAGTATGATCGTGCTTGTGGCATTTCAGTCTAAATCAAGCGAACATTAATGTGCCAACGGCCAGGGTCGACATCGGATAAAAAGTGCAAACCTGCAATGAGCTCCAGTCTGGGTCCGGGCTTTCTAAAGACAGACACTCGACAGTTGATAGATTACTGGCGCCATCGTCGCCTCCGAGAGCAAAAACTGTCCCTAAAAATCCACTCTGATGTATACAAGATATTTGCAGCATATTCGCTGTACCTACCGTTGGCCACAACAATACCAGCATTTCGCCTACAAACAGACATCTCGGGTAGATGCATCCAACCTTCATCGCCAAGGATCTGAAGAAAAACAAATCAACAGGTCTTATGGGAAAATGCATCAATACAGACCTCCACGGAAGCGCGGACCAAAGGGCCGTCATGACCACCAGCGGCGATTACACGATCTCGATAAACTCCCACGCCCGCACCGGATCGGACTTCGAGAAGTGGTTCTCCCATACGCCAGCGATTTGCGCGCGAATCATACAGTTCCACCTTAAGGCACATTTATGCACCGTGGAAGATAAGCGGCTTTTAAGGAGTAAAGTGGATACACGCTGACTACAGGCAAGGAACTGACCGAGCTAAGGCACTGTCTTGATTGCCCATCGTAACCACCAATAGCAAACACAATTCCATTTATAGCAGCAACACCAACACTTGACCGTCGGGTTGTCATTGATGGTAAAGCCATCCACTGAGCTACAACAATTTTCTATTATGCGCTAGAGCACATAATAAACAAAAATCCCACCTTGTCTAGGATCAAGCATTTCAGCACTGCATAACCCAGTAGAACCATCAAAGCCGCCTACTGCGACAATGTTTCCATCAAGAACGGCAACACCAAGTGTGCTGCGACGAGCATCCATAGCTGGTCCAGTAAGCCACAAATCCCTGCGAAGTGAATGTGATATATCTATGGAGAACTCCCAGATAACCTACCTGCGAGGCTCATAAATTTCAACAGATCTGATGCGAGCAGAACCATTGAAGCCTCCGATTGCATAGACCAAATCACCAGCCATAACGACCCCGCAACGACATCGTCGTTGTTGCAAAGGAGCAACTAAAGCGACTATGACTGTGAGATGCAGTTTGACAGGTAAAAAACATACGTGAGCTCCATCGTTGTGAGTCTGGATCAAATGTGTCGACGCTGGAAATGGCCTTCGGTGCCTGTCCTCCAACAACCATGATCAACTACAAAACAATGCGAAAGGCAATGAGAAGATAATGCTAAAAATTGAAAAGGAGTGAGTAAAAACTGACCTGTGAAAGAGGTACAGGCTGTCTGGGTCGGATCCAGCTGGAAACTATACCTGGAGTCACTTCTTTTTTCAGAATGTGGTGGTAGACTGAGCAAAGCATGGCTATACAAGCAGGCGACTCTTGAATCTGTTAAGCAAGTTTTGAAAAAGTGAAGGAAAGTGCAAATTCATTCCTACCAATGGTTCCTGATATGCACGATCGAGCAGAAACTCTTGTGAGATGAGTGGCAAACGAACAGCAGCGAGAACTCTTAAGTTAACATTTACCACTGAACTTTCACTACGCCGAAAGGTAACAGATACTTGGGTAGCGACGCCTTTCGCGATGGATCGTGCTTGACCCAGTTGATTGCAGCTTCAAACACTGCTTCTTCACCCTGAACAACAATAAGCGAAAGGTTAAAGCGAGATGTAAATGAAGATACAAGTCAAACGAGAAAGAAAATCGCGTTATTCGACTACCCAAGCCTTAAAGGCAGCGTCCAGGCTGATCTGGACCTATGGGGTTTTTACGTGGAAAGTACTTTTGGGGCCCTAAAAGGCACTGCCCAAGCGGCAGCTCAGGTAGTGCTGTAATGGCTGAGATATTCCCTGCGAAACTGGACCCCGCGACCGTGTTTCGCATGGATTCATGGCGCAAAGCGTGGATCCTGGCGCGGAACTGCCATGAATCCATGCGAATACGATCGCGGGGTCCAGTTTCGAGGGGAATATCTCAGCCGTTAGAGCACTACCTGCGCTGCCGCTTGGACAGTGCCCTGGTTAGGGCCCCAAAAGTACTTTCCACGCAAGATCCCCTAGGTCCAGATCTGCCTGGACGCTGCCTTTAAAATCTTAGAATTACGAATTTATTGAAGTGTCTGTGAGGGTCACTTCACGAGAACATTTGAGATGTTAACACACTCATTGTAAAGCAGTGATTCGGCAACGACGTAGAGAGTACATACGGCAAATACACCACAGCCTCAGTTCCTATCCTCCAACTCAAGCGCCCAATCTTGGAGGGGCAAGACTTGAATATTCATCAGTCTTCGATGCGACTTTGAAGCTCGCTTTTAGCGTAGCGCATGAATTGAATGTGGAAGGAGGCTGCGATGTACATGGAGGGTCTACTTGAAAGTTACAGCTAATCGAATAGCACAGAACTAATTAATTGTACCTCTGTCGTCAGACGATCATCGGAAATCAGTTGTATGAAACTTTCTTCATCCATTGAAAGCAACTCCTCACTCTCTACTAGCAATCTGTAACGATAAGATATGTAAAGAAAAGGATAGAAGCACCACAATGCTACAAACCTGAAGTGTTGGTGTGTGAACATCTGCGCTGCATGAGCTAGCTGCGTGCAGTTGTGCGTTTGCGCAAAAGATGCGATACCCAGACAGTTGCTGGCATCCAGCTGCTCTAACAAAAATCTGCAAGAATCTTTCCTTGAAATCATGAGATCGAATGACCTCAACTTTCTGATGGGGTACAGAACAGAATCTTTCTCAACTGAAAAAAGGATGCACGAGCCAAGGGTAATCTAAAAATGATGTCAATAGGCTTACCTTGAGCATGCATCCCGAACACAAGCTAACTGAAGGATAGACGCAGTACTCAACAATAGTTGCACATTGGATTCATCTATATCCAAACGGCCGCTGTACATATACTCCACCAGAAGCGCCAATGTTGGTCCATCGATGTCCTGCAAAACGGGAACTTATGAACGGGCGCAGTGGTAGAGAGACAAGAGTAAGAAATTGTGGCGGCAACCAATATAAAGGCTTCTCGCTGACATAGACGGTCGGTTTATTCCTAGGTGTATGCGACGGCGACCTTCATGCATCTCTCATCATTACAGCTCATACGCTCAGTGACACCTCGCTCAAACAGCCGGTCGCTTTGGTCTAGAACCTTATATTGTACCCTCTGTCTCCTCAAGTGAACCCAACTCAAGCGGCTTGAGTCCCGGCGCGGAAGCTTCGTCTGTTCCTCGCCGCGTCCGTGAACGTATCGCCTAACCGTTTTCTCTCCCCTGAAGCTCACTGGATATGGCTCAGAGGCAAACTTCAATTTCTATCTGAGCGTGAAAAAGTGGTCAAAACACGTTCGCGAACGCGGCGCAAGGTCTAGACGAGGCGGCCGCGCGGGATTCAAACCGCTTGACCTAAATTTGGTCTCCAGATGAAAGAGTACGCATCGATGCCAAAATCACAGGGCATAAGTGAGTTATAGGGGGAGGGTGCTTAGCGGTGCTCGGTTTACGCTCGAAACCACAGTATAAGCTTTGGCTGCTGCGACGCAGTCTCAACGCTTTCAAAGGTTAATTACGCGGTTCAAAACCAACAGAATTATTGGCACAGTTTTATCAAATCAATTGCCTAAGCACTCACTCTTATGAAAATTCGATCTTTTGTTGATTCAACCATGTTGCTGGTAAACATTGCTCTGAAACAACCGAAATTTGAATCGTACACTGTGTAAATAAATTGAATGAAAAACCAGAGAATGTATAGCGAATCAATAATAATAAGAAAATGACGTATGTGATAAGAGCGAAAAAAAATCGAGACAGCTAAAATATATGCAGAATATACAGGGTGACCCAAAAGTAAGTACACGCACTTTAATCGTCAATAACTCTCATTCCACAGAATCTTTTGCCTAGCTTAAGTACCATTCGGTAGTGAAGGCTTCAACTTAGATTTACAGTATGGACAGAGTCACTCATCATTCTTTTTTACTGTTGGAATACGGTAAGAGATTTCAGCATTCAGCGCCACTATGAAACAGGCCGTTACAGAAAAGTTTCAAAAAATTCTGCAAATTGTGCAAAGATGTTTTCAGACATGCTGATTCCATTTAACAACTTTTTGCAAGTTTTTCAAGCGTTTCAAATGATCTGATTCACATCTTTGAAAAGCATAGGGGAAGAACTTTACAGCGGTTTACCTGGTATAATTTAAGAAAAAACTTTTAATGCAAATTTCGAATTCACAGTCAGCGACTCAATTTAGCACAATGATGAAGTTTTTGGCTCGTTGAGAATCCATTCTGGGGTAAAATGTAGTCATTAATGACTCCAAACCCTCTTCAAAGTTTCTACGGTAACACTAATGAAGATTGTGTGTTTCACTCCAAATTGTAAGTCTAAGTTGAAGCCTACTCTATCAGATGGTACTTGAAGCTAAGCAAAATTTGTGGAAAGAGAGTTATTACCGTTCGAAAAGTGTGTACTTACTATTAGGACACCTTGTACAGGGGGCACACCTGAAGTATGGACAAGCGGCCGCAAGAACAACTTTGTGTGCAGCGATGATTGTTGGTGGGGCACTCTCCGATTCTGCACCTCCCCCATCCCCTGGTCCACAAGCCTCCAAGACAACGTCACACAACTCATCGCACCTAAACAGCAGTATTTTCTTGAGTGGCTATAAACTCTGCTTAAAAATTACCTTCTCAAGCTTGTAAGGTTGTAGAAGAACTCTCCAGATATGCGATCATTAACAAAATGGTGAACCGCTCGATCACGCTCCGGAGAGCGAGCACTTCGTCGTGGTGCGCAATCCGACTCCGCGCACCATCCGCTCATCCACGACGGAGGCTAAATAGTGATTAGTTGCTTATTTCTGCCTTCGTGAATCTGAAAACAATAAACTACAAGAAGTAGTGGACCTTGAAAACTTCATAGAGCGGCATGATCTTTGGAAGACTAAGTAATACTAACTAGTGGTCTCTGATAGGAGGTGATAACAAAGTGCAGTCTACGCCGAGATCCGACGCACCATGTTGATCTCAGATAGGCGCGCTACATCACTATGGAGTGTAGGCTATCCAAGCAAACGAGTTAGTCCAGCGAGAAAGTATTTAGAAGTGCAGCTTTCAGCTGCAGTTCTTGGAAGACGGAACGTCCAATACTAATTCGATACATAGATAAAGTGGAATAGATGTCTGTTACTTTAGTGCTCTTGCGGTGTCGAGATTTTGCGGTATAATCTGCGCGTGAATAACAGACCTAAGTCAATAATGCCAATTTGCTCCTGCAAAACACCGACATTCCCGGAGTAGCTGATTCTTCATGCGCAGATATTACCGCGAAATCTCGGCACCGCACCCGCTATATTTACCGCAACTATACTCATTGTATAGGCTGAAAAATCGTAACGATGGCACGACCACGCGCGACACGCACCGGCAATCGCATTTTCTTGGCTCTCATCTCTACTCGAATGATTTTTCTGAAATGACTGAGCGTTGAGGTGATGCCTTTATGTATGAGTGTTTTATGCTTCTGTGAGCGCAAGGACAGCAGTTAATCCATCGTCACGATTTTATAAATGACCTATATTTATTTCTTGATGTTCCAGGGGTACTGCAGTTTTCTAGCTATGCCAGTGCATTTCTGCTTTGTGAGGTTCGCCCTTGCCAACCAGGAGCGGTGGTAAACCCACGTCCTGAGAGCTTGCCTCTCAAATCATTGCCCCAACTGCAGCGTGAGAGCCATGGTTGAAAACGAACCATACTCGCTGTTAGGACCCCACAAGCTGGTTAAAAAGTCGAAGTGGCATGAAGACCTACAAGATGCGATAGATACCATCTTGTGAGATCCGGTACGCGGCAAACGTTGAGGGATACGTTAGCCGTGGAGCGCGCCAGCGCAATCATTGGCCGTAGTTGGCAAGACAGCTAAAGTTGGCCGAGGGGGGGGGGGATTTTTCAGGTTTACTTCGAAGGGATTTCCCCATGTAGATTTTTGCCTGATCCGGAAGGAAAAAACAAAAACGGGCTTTTGTTTCAAAGTTGTCTTTCTTTGGAAAAATGTTGAGAAGCCAGATGCAATCGAGTGACTCTCTCAATGTACTTACGTTGCTTTTGCTGTTGTTGTTTGCGTTCTGTAGTTGTTCCTTGCTAGTTATTTGTATGGTATTCTGCTGTAATAACATAATAGAATATCTTGCCGTTAACATTTCCGTAATGAGCTGGCTGGCTATCTGCTGTATAAAACTGATCACCCACTGGTATTAGTAGAAGACTCTTCAAATAAAAAAGTAGCACCCAATTTTGCTCGGGATTCAGCAGAGTACATGATGGCTGCCCACAAAGGGATAGATACGGCTTGCAAATTCATAGTTAGGAGAATATTTCGACACTGGCACTAAAAATAGAATTCCTATGCGCTTCTGTAAAGTTTCGAAAGTTTAGCAGTTTTACACTCAAGGATGAACGGACTAAGGGTTATTATGTTCAACAAAACACTAGCAGTTTATGCGGAAAGCCAATGCAGATATTTAGATTTCTTCAAATGGCAGACAATCCCCAAACGAGTTGGTTTTGTTTGAACAGACTAGACTTCACTCAAATCGACATTGAATTCAACTTTTTCAAGATAAAGATTTAACAAAATATTTCTCGCAAGGAACGAGTGTCAAGCGTGGTTTCTGTACCACAGAAACAGAACACAAACAGACAAAATACTTCAGAACCGATACAGTGTCACACTCATTTCGTCAGCGGAACTATCAGTGGCGGTAGGTTGAATGAAAGCTCCACTCTTTCCAAAATTTGTGAAACCTACTTGCCTTATGCGGCCAATAGAAAAACACTATCACGATTAATCCTGTATATGAGGGGAATTGATCTTGAGGATTCAATTCAGGCCGTTAAGTCGCTGGCACAAACTTTTGTTTGTGCGTTACCAGCGTCAAAATATGAATAGGCAAATCTTCTAACTTCTAACAACACTTCCTGCATACGTCCGAACGATACTTAATTCTGCATCAATCAAACTGCAAAATTTCAGCATCAGTATTAGGAAGCAAACGCGAAAGTATTCAAGGCAACATTCCCATGGTACTATCTACTTCCGCATACCAACTGAAGCTGTACTTGAAGTTCAACAGAGAAAGCAGTTTGAAAGAGAGCGCACATGCCCACAAAATTCAAGATAACTAGACTTTTCAAGTCAGCCGAACTGTTGAAAATGATAAACATTGCAACCATCTGTTGCACGCATCAAAAATGCAAACCCGACGTGTTTTTTTTGAAGCTAGTCATGGAAAATATGAAGTCCACATTCTTCAAAGTTCTGTTCTCACTAGAATGAGCAAAAAAGATGAAAGATCTTCGAAGCACTTGCCTTCCATTAATGGAAATCAAAAGTTATCACGCACAAATTTGGCTTAAATGACGAAAATGAGATTTCATCGACCAAGAAACATCAAAACGATGTTAGAGAACAAAAACATGTGAAAACTGGGCCAACTTTAGCTGTCTTGCCAACTACGGCCAATGATTGCTGGCGCGCTCCACGACTAACGTATCCCTCAACGTTTGCCGCGTACCGGATCTCCCATCTTGTAGGCCTTCCGCTGATTTTGAATCTGCCTTCCTTATCCACAGAGCAAATTTTGCGAGGAGTTATGAGGGTTTTTAGGCAGCGGAAGTCGACACAAGTGCAATCAAAAGTGATTTCCCTCCCAGCGCTTTCGCCTAGTCTGAAGTACGGTCTACAATGCTGATAAGGGCGCGAGGTTTATCCGCTTATGTGTACCCGGGAGCGATACGAATATCATCGGCTCTCAGATTTGTGTAGAGGTGGAGTCCTACCAACTCAAAGCGTGGCGGTTTCTGATAGCGAGAGAGTACAAAATCAACGCTATAACGTGAAAGTTTCACAAGTTTCAAGTTCTCAGAGAATTCGCAATTCGTCTTCACAATATGGGAGCCGCTCATACAGCATGAGCTTATTTGTGCATAGTGTGAAAGTGAATATAAGCTTCCCATTCCTATCGAATGCAAACAACTGAAAAAAAAACATCGCAACTCCAACACCTTTCCCTTGACCACAGGTGCGATAAGGTGAGAATGACTCCTCCAGGGTGAAGGGGGTCACAGTGGTCGCAGCCCCTCCAGGGTGAAGGGTGTTTTAGTTGGTAGAGAAATCATGAAATGTCGACGGGGGAGGTAGCCATCATTTTTCCCAGTCAAAGCTCATAATTTCCAATTCCTTACCATCACTGTTTGTCTTTTTTCTGAAATGTGAAGTGATACGCTGCTGGATTTGCACATAATTATATTTCCGACCAGGACCTTGTATTTTTTTACATTTCCTTTTCCCTTTTTTACATAGCCCTGCCTGTTTTTGGAATTACCATAGATGATGTGCATGCGAGAACATTTGTTTCGGAAAGAGTTAGACAATTTTTAAGCATTTACGATTTTTTTTCAAAGAAAAAATTTGTAATTTTTGTAGATGAACAGCAACGTCAGCAAAATGAATGTTTTCAAGTCCAACTTGTCTTCCGCGTTTAGAGGATATATGGTTTGCCTGGAGTCTGTTGAAAAAGTGCCTGGTGAAGAGTGTGGGTAGTATTTCTGGATATTTTCGAGTTTTTGGATAGAAAAATCCGTAACTTCTGAAGATGAAAGTAATTTACGCCGTTATGGCTACCATTGAAACCGCTTTGTTTTCTGCTTTCAGAAAATATATGCAGTGCCTGGTGTCCGTTAAAAAAAGTGCTTGGGTGAAGGGTGTCCTAGTGATTGCTGGAGATTTTCGAGTTTTTAACGTAGAAAAATTCATAACTTTTTTAGATGAACATCTTGTACGCCGGGATGGTCACCGCTGAAACCGTCTCGTCCCCCGCTTTCAGAAAACATACAGCATGTCTGAAATCTTTTCAAAAAAGTACCTGGGTAAAGGGTGTCCTAGTGATTTCTGGAGATTTTCGAGTTTTTAACATAGAAAAATTCATAACTTTTTTAGATGAACATCTATGCCGGGATGGTCACCGCTGGAACCGTCTCGTCCCCCGCTTTCAGAAAACATACAGCATGTTTGAAATCTTTTCAAAAAAGTACCTGGGTAAAGGGTGTTTTAGTGAATTCTGGATATATTCGAGTTTTTAGGATAGAAAAATCCGTAACTTCTGAGATGAAAATAATTTACGCTGTTATGGCTACCATTGAAACCGCCTTGTTTTCTGCTTTTAGAAAATATATACAATGCCTGGTGATTGAAAAAAGTGCTTGGGTGAAGGGTGTCCTAGTGATTGTTGGAGATTTTCGAGTTTTTAACATAGAAAAATTCATAACTTTTTTAGATGAACATCCTGTACAACGAAATGGCCACCATTGGAACTGTCTTGTCCTCCGCTTTCAGAAAATAAATACTTTGCCTAAGGTCCATTGTAAAAAGTGCCGGGTGAAGGGTGGGTGAGACTTTTACAATGGGAGTGCTCAAGTAGACGCCTCTTTACAATGGTAAAAAAGCCTGTACTTGAGCACTCCCATTATAAAAGTCTCACCCACCCTTCACCCGGCAATTTTTTAGATGACCTCAGGCAAAGTATAGATTTTCTGAAAGTGGAGGACAAGACAGTACCAGTGGTGACTATCTCGGCGTACAAGATGTTCATCTACAAAAGTTATGAATTTTTTTAGGATAAAAATCGAATATCTTCAAAAATCACCATGCACACCTTTCACCCAGGCACTTTTTTAAATGGATCTCAGACAAGCTATATATTTTTTGAAAGCGGAGGACGAGGCGGTTCCAACGGTTCCTATTTCCTTGCACCAGCTATTCATCTGCAGTAGTCACGGATTTTTTTATCCTGAAAACTCGAAAATTCCCAGAAATCACTAGGCACATCCTTTACCAGGCACTTTTTCAAACGGAGCTCAAACATGCAGTATATTTTTTGAGAGCGTAGAACGAGGCGGTTCTAATGGTGACCATCTCGCCGTGAAAGATGTTCATCTACAAAAGTTATGAATTTTTTCATGTCAAAAACTCGAAAATCTCCAGAAATTACTACTCACACCCGTCACCAAGCACTTTTTTCAACAGACTCCTCCTTTTCTATAAATTGACAATTCACGTACAAATATCTCATTTTCTTAACCTCACCTTACTGTTGATTTTTTTCTCGGCTTTTGGTGAAGGGGGTCACCTTGGTCCCGGCTCAGGGGTGAAGAGGGGGTGAGAAAAGTCTCACACTATCGCACCTATGCCCTTGACCTTACAGGATGACTGTAAGCATAAAAGGAAAGGGTAGAAAAAAAAGGCTTATTAACAAGGATTCTTCGAAGCGGCATGATTGGTAAAACGAAGAGCAAATTAGGCGTGAAATGAAATGTGCAAATGACCGCTATTCGAGCTCAGATTCAGCACGCGATCTTACGACAGCCTTTGTTGCGCTTGGGTGTGAGTTGCACTCAAGATTCCGAACTAAGAGGTGATGATGAGGAAACTTTGATTAGATAAGGCATGCTTGTGTGCTTATGATAATTATGCGATTCTGAACCTCCCGACTGCAGTGAAGATAGCAAACACAATTTTCTGAGGGAAATATGATCCTGAAAAGCGAGTCCCGTAAATGGAGCATACCCCTGCTTCCGTACTAGTTCAAAAGCACATTCAGTTCAGTCTGTAAGTTTGTTTCTTGAGTCTCGATCTTGCTGAAGGGCCCGAAGGGTAACATTCTCATGCCGAAAGCTCTGTGGCTTATTCCGCTTTCTTCGTCGGAACTTCTACTCATATCCTACATCTCCATTTGTCACTGATTCATTTAATTGCAACAGTAAATGCTCATTTCAGCTAGTGAAAGGCTCTTATTTGTATCCACGAGGTTCGATAAACATGAGAAAATTTGACTATAGAGGCGTCGGCGGCAAGTCAATGACTAATGAATTGGGGCCAACCGCTGGGGAGGTGGGCACAAAAAATAAAGAAAAGGAACCCAACCAGGGTCCAGCACAGATCGTATGAAAGCAGCTGGACTTCGTTTTTGAGGCCGAAAATTGACGTTTTTCTAGTCGACGTTTCGTTTTTTTTAAAGGGTTTCTTATGTTTAGGGCTGAGTCGAAGAGGACTTCGCAGAACTTCGCGGAAGTCAAGGGGGACTCGTTTTCAAGAATCCTAGAAACGAACTCATGCCGGGCTCTGACCCCAACTCAAAAGCAAAGTAAACGGGAACGAGTAAGACAAGCGCAAGGGTTTCTGCGTCCTACCTTCAACACGAATGCGTCCCACCTTCGACCGGATCGTCCTCCCTAGCGGTGCTGATGCTGGTTCGACGTTCGTGCTTCGACCTCTTTTATCAATAATATCATGACTTATAATAACGGGCTAAGGGTTGTTTACGTCTTTTTGTGTGTCTGTGTGTCTGTCCGTTACGAAATTCGTAGAACATGTTCCAGCCAACCTCCTGAGCCCAAATTTTGCACGGCGCATGCTAGCAGCATGAAAGTCCAATATACAAAAGCGCGAGCAAATCCGTCGAGTGGATCCGTTGAAAATTGCGCGCCAAACGGGTCCACCTGGCTTCTGTACCGCAAAATTCGGTCCGTATCACCACTTTTTGCAGAGTCGTGGATGAGTTTGGTAAGCAAATGTGCAAGCGATGGAGTTTAGCCAGAAAAGTGGTCGAAAGTTTACTACATAACGAAAACGGCGCCAAAATGAATTGGTTGTGTAAATGGTCAACTTGCCAAGGTTCTAGCCAAGCGTTTGAGAAGATTTTCGCACAGAGATGTAGCTCACGGTTATCATTACCTTTATGGCGACTACCAAGCCATGACAAATCCAAAAACCTATTCAAATTTGCGTTTGTCTTCCTGCGAAAAGTTTCATCCACTCGAAATCACCGATCTCACGTGAAAAGACTTTCTAAATGAGTGGTTGTTTACATTTTATTCGTGGTAGTCGGCATAGCGCGGTGAGTTCCAGTGCCACGATTTTACGAGAATGAGTAAGGCACATAGATAGTAGAGCCAGTGAGAACCTCTGCGAAGCAGAGGTGACGCACTGGTATCTAAATAACATGGAACAACAATGCTAAGCTAACCACGTAAACAGATAACTATTGCTTCTTCGACGTGATATGAGTATAAGAACAAACCATCACCATTACTCCTCTTATAACTAAACCAGTGCTTCACCTCTGCTTCGCAGAGGTTCGCACTGGCTCTACTATCCATATGCCTCATTACTTTCCCGTAATGATGGCAGTGAAACTCACCGCGCAGTGGCCGACTATCACGAACAGGATGTAAACAACTACTCATTTAGAAAGTCTTTTCACGTAAGATCGGTGATTTCGCGTGGATGAAACTTTTCGCAGGAAGACAAACGCAAATTTGAGTGGGTTCCTGGGTTTTTTATGGTTTGGTAGTTGCCGTAAGGCCAATAGCCACCGCGAGCAACACTTCTGCGTAAAAATCTTCTCAAATGCGCCAGTAGAACGCTTTCAAATTGACCATTTACGCAACCAATCCATTTTGGCGTCATTTTCGCAAAGTAATGGATTTTTGCCCATTATTTGGGCTGGAGTCCAAGGCTTGCACATTTACTTGTCAAACACCTCAACGACTTCGCAAAAAGTGCTGATATAGGGACCCAATTTTGTAGGTCAGAAGCGAAGTGGACCCGTTTGACGCGCAATTTCTGTGAGTTCCACTCAACGAATCCGCTAATGCTTTTGCATGGTGGAGTTTTGTGCTGGTAGCATGTGCTGTGCAAAATTTGGGCTCAGGACGTTGGCTGGAACACGCTCTACGAATTTCGTAACAGACACACAAACACACACACAAAGTCACGTAAACATCCTTAGCCCGTTATTATAAGTCATGATCTCTATGGACTGATATCAAAATACGGGATTGTGAATGGAAAGATGGTATTGCAACGAACAATATAAGATGAACCGAATATCTACGGATTGGAGCGGAGGCGAAAGGTTCGTATTGGGGGCGAATTAAAGGCAGTGTCCGGGCAAAAAGTCGATTCTGAAATTTTGTGCTCACCCGGGCATATTTGCCATCCTGAATCCGGAAATTCATACTGGAGAAGCGAAAATTGCGAAAAAAGGCTCTAGTGCAAGAGGGGTAATCAGAAGGTGAGCGGGGTCCTTCCCACTGTAAATTTACGCTCCCAGCTTCTGGAGCAATCTTCTCGGTTTCGCTGACCAAGCTGACATCTCCACCGGCTAAGTGCAAACGCTTGACTTGAAATCGGAACCGAAAGATCGCTCCGTAAGCTGGAAGCGTGAATTCACAGTGGCGAAGACCCTGCCCACTTGCTGATTTCCCTCCAGTGTTAGAGCCCTTTTTCGTCGTTTTCGCGCTTTCCAATGTGGATTTTCGGATTCAGCATAGCGAATAGGCCCGAGTAAGCACAAAATCTCAAAATCGACTTTTTGCCCGGACACTGCTTTTTAAGGTAGCGTCCAGGCAGATCTGGACCTATGGGGCTTTTACGTGGAAAGTACTTTTGGGCACTAACTAAGGCACTGCCCAAGCGACAGCTCAGGTAGCGCTGTAATGGCTGAGATATTCCCCTTGAAACTGGACCCCGCGACCGTGTTTCGCATGGAATCATGGCGCAAAGCGTGGATCCTGGCGCGAAAGTGCCATGAATCCATGCGAATACGTTCGCGGGGGCCAGTTTCGAGGGGAATATCTCAGCCATTAGAGCACTACCTGAGCTGCCGTTTGGGCAGTGTCTTAGTTAGGGCCCCAAAAGTACTTTCCACGTAAAAGCCCCATAGGTCCAGATCTGCCTGGACCCTGCCTTCAAATACTTCGATGGGATGCGATTGAGATCAAAGGTACGGAGACCGTTCCGTAGACCACTTGCTTATCAGAGTGCGGTTGAGCTTAGAGAGAATAGTGAATGAATGAATGAAATAGAATGCAATTACTTACTTAAATACTTAGATGGCCCGGCTTCACGTGACGTGCGGGCCCCAGCTCAGAAGTTTCCATTTCTCCCTGTCCCTCGCTTCTGACATCCACGATCTTCTTGGCTGACGTCGGTGGCTGCGTCCACGAGTTCCAGGTGCAAAAATCGTATCCAGCTGATTTCTCAGCTGGTCCATCCGTTCCACGAACACGTCTGCCCATCTCGTTGGTGGTCTTCCTCGGGGACGTTTTGCTTCGCGAGGAATCCACTCCAATGTTCTTAGTGTCCATCTGTCTTCTGTTCTTCTCATGATGTGACCGGCCCATCGATGCTTCGCTTTCGCAACGTAATCCGCTGGGTCACGAAGACGAGACATTCTCCTCATATCCGTACTGCGAAGTCCGACGAGATGTTGTTTGTGTCGGGTCATCTTCAGAAGACTACGCTCTAGCGCTCTGTGGGTGGTCCTTGAAGCTTTCGAAGTGGCGACGGTGTCAGCCCAAGTCTCAGCTGCGTAACAGAGCGCCGGGAGAACGGCTGAGTCGAACAGGTGGGCACGAAGCTCCGGGTCCGTCAGTTGGTCGGTGGCTTCCTTCAGAGGCCCGAAGGCGGCCCAGGCTGCTCTTCTTCTCCTGTTAAGTTCCTCCCTCAAGTCGTTCTCCATGTTCATCGAACGTCCGAGATACACGTAAGAAGACGTCTCCGTAATAGGGGTGCCTTCCAATTCCATTTCTGCATCTTCGCAAAGGGCCTTCTTCATGAACTGAGTCTTCTTCCGATTGATTCGCAATCCGATCTTCTTCCCTACTTCGTTCAGTTCCTTCAGCATCGTCTCTGCTTCAGTGATACTGCTCGAAACGAGAACGATGTCGTCCGCAAAACGAAGGTTCGACAGGAATCTCCCATCAACTCGTATGCCTCTCTCGTCCCAGTCCAGTGACTTCATCACCCACTGCAAGGCCGCGGTGAACAGCTTCGGCGAAATTGTGTCGCCTTGTCGAACCCCCTTCCCAATTGGGATGGTCAGGGGGCGATGGAATAGCTGCATCGTCGTTGTACAGTCCTTGTAACAGTCGGCTAACGTCCTCACGTAAGCTGGGTCCACTCCTTGATCGACTAGCGCAGACAGGATGGCGTTGGTTTCGACGCTGTCAAAGGCTTTCTCGTAGTCGACAAAGGTTAGGACGAGAGGCAGTCGGTATTCCCGGCAGACTTCTATGACCCTCGAAACCGTCTGGATGTGGTCCATGCAGCTGAATCCTTTGCGAAATCCAGCTTGTTCTTGGGGTTGGGCTTCATCCAGTGTCCTAGATATGCGAGTGAGGATAATCTTCGTGAAAAGCTTGTACAGCACACTCAGCAGCATATTAGACGGTAGTTCCGAAGATCTTCCCGTTCACCCTTCTTGAAAAGAAGGACGGTTCTTGATGTTCTTCACTGGTCGGGAATCCTTTCCTTCTGAAGGTAAGTTGTTAGGTGCTACGCGAGGATCTCGTGTAGACGTTGTCCTCCAGCTCGCAGAAACTCGACGGAAAGATGGTCTGGTCCTGGAGCCGTGGACGTCTTCATGGTCTGAATCGCTGTGCGCATTCAGCAGGTAGAATTCGTGGTGGTACTTCTCCAGTGGGAACAACGGGCATCGGCACGGGTGTTGATGAGCGGAAGAGGTTGGTATAGAAGTTCTTCGCGATAGATTCCATCTTGTATCGGGAAGAAGTCGGAGTCCCGTCTTCGTTCAATAGTGCAGCCAGCGGTACGCGATATTCACAGAGGTCCCTTCGGCACTTCTTGAGACTTCGTCTTCCTTCGGCTGCTTCCAGTATCTTGGCTTGCCTGTACTTCCTGAGATCCTCCTGCAAAGCTGTTCTGCAACTGGCGTTGGCTATCAGTCGCTCGAGATGGGTTGCATTCGGATCCTGCCTCAGAAATCTTCTTCTTTCAAGCATTTCCTTGGTGGTCTTCGAAACGTGTTCAACATTCTTCTCGGAAGTAACTGAGGCGCACTCTCCGCAGGCTCGCAATCCTTTCAAAAGCCGGTAGTAGTCGTACGTTGGGTTCTCCTCGATGGGCCAGTCACAACTTGATATGAGCTCCTCCAGCCTGTTACCGTCATAAACGACATTCTTCCTTCTTGCGGCACTGTGGCAGACCTTATTTTCCAGCCTTCGACTGAATCGTACCTTCGCTCGAAGGAGGCGGTGATCGGAGCCACTGCAGAAGGATAGAACTACTGAGATATCGAGCAAGCTCCACCTTCGGTTGGTGCGAATGTGGTCGATCTCCGCGTGGGTCGTTCCGTTGGGCGAATCCCATGTCCACCGGCGATGTTCTTTCTTCACAAAAGATGGAATTTCCATGGAAAAGTCGTGCGGGGGAGAGAAGCCCAACAAGACGGTTGCCGTTTTCGTTCCGGAGCCCACATCCAAACTTCCCGATCCTATATTCCTTTTCCAGTGGCATCCCGATTTTCGCGTTGAAGTCGCCCACAACAAACTTATAAAAGGACTTCTCGTTGCGGACGACCTCCTCCACATCTTCGTAGAAAGCATCTAGTTCTGATTCGTCAGCTGCTGATGTTGGAGAATAGCAGTTGATGATGCTGATGGTCTTCTGATGTGGAGGTCGTAGTCGTAGAATGCCTAGTCGAGGTGATAGGATCTCGTGCGAATCGACAAGATGGACGTTAGATGGGTGGACGACAAAGCCGACGCCTCCCACGTTTCGTGATGGAACCTTTTCACCACGGATGATGAGGGTCCCATCATCCCAACATGGTCTCCATCACTCATCTGTCGCACGTCCTTCTTCCTGGACTTCGTTTCCTGCAGAGCGATGATGTGGTAGTTGATGTGCTCTGCAGCGTCGAGAAGAGCGTGTAGGTCGGCGTTTGTGGAGACTGTCCTGGCGTTGTAGGTGCAGAGCATGAGGCAATCTCCATGGCGTGTCGTCCATGGAGATGTCTGAAATAGAATGCAATTGCGATCCACAATTGCATTCTATTTCAGAATGCTATTGATCAACAGTGGATTTCGAGCTACACGGTCATTTGCTCGATCAAAAACTTTGTTTATCAAAGTTTTTGAAGTAGAGCTTACTCCAGAGTATCAAATCACATTAGTGATAAAATGTGGTAAACTCAAACTTAGACAGTCTAGCAGAAATGAATCTTCCTCAAGATGAGCTCACCAGGAAGTGCGGTCCTTGAAGACGCAGGGCTTGCTATTCGCT